AATATCCCAAGTGCTCGGGTTGTGAGTAAATCTTAATTCTTTTCACAGCCAGAGCACGCAATAGGTAATCTCGCCCATCATCGGGGCATATCTGCTCCTCTCCATGGTATAGCACAAACTCCGCGAGCCAGGCTAAAAGCTCGAAGAGGATTTGAGCTTCAAGAAAAGACCTCTCCTTGCCTTGCTTCTGAGTTCCCGAAGTGCCCTCAACTCCCGCACTTGATAGGCCCCTCATACACTAAACGCTCTCTATCTGGAAGAATTTGCATTGGCCTATGGTGACCGATGTGGATCTCCTCTAATATATGGATTGCTTCTACGAGAAATTCAGAATAGATCGGAAATGATCAAGAGGGACGCCATATTCCCGGCGTTTTCGCGTTCGAGATCCATGGCCTCGGAGTGAAGTCCTGGATTTCAAACTCGTGGAAGGAGAATCCGAGCGTCAGCTCTAAATAGAGAGATTGGATACTGAATAGTTTCGCGCGTCTCACGGGGCCTCGGATCGGCCTGCCAAGGTCCGCCGTTTGGAGAGAGATTCTTCCGTGAGGTAGAGCAAGAGGATGCTTCCGATCAATAATTACGGTGAAGCTCACCGGATTTCATCGTGATCTCGATTCCCCGGGAAAACTACGTACTCTCTAGCTTAGTCCATACGTAACGACTGATTGAACTTCCCCGGGGAGTTCGGTCCAATGTACAATTTCTCATGAGGAATCCTGTGCTTTCAGAGACCTCCACTCTTCAGTGCTATTCATGGTTGGCACAGCGGCTCCTGGAGAACGCATTCAGTCGCAGACCAAATAGTCCGATTCCGGATATCACTCAATAGTCGTCTCGATTCTCGACTGCGGAACTGCGGACAATGAAGTTCTGCGATGATTGAGGGTGGAGCATGCCGAGAAGTTATCTCATAATCGTCCATGGTGGTAGGATTCGGGGACGCCACTCTCGATCGCGAAACCGTGGAGCCCCTTGCGTGACTCCTATCCCGCAAAGTAGCACAGGTAACATTCTACATACTCCACTAAGAAAACTTTTGAAGCTCTAGATGATGAGATAATACCTGAAACACGTCCTAGTATAGATCTGAGTCCGCGAAGGGCAGTTTGTAGCGAATCCATTGCCTTTAAAAGTGAAGTCCAATTCAAATTGCAGGATTATGCCCACGAGCAGTTGGAATCGCATTCGCACCTATTCTTTTCTCAGCCGTAAGCTAACGCACGTTCAGAGCTCCTTCTGCTTGCGTACAAATTTCAAATTGTCTTTAGGTCGGTTTTAGTTACTCGTTTTAGGAAGTTTCCACAAATTGTCTGCGGTCGTTAGAAAATTATCAAAAATTACCTAGGTGCACTAGAGCGTTTCAACGCCTCGCCTCTTCCCACGATGTCCGGCCGAATAATGGAAAAAAAGAGTTTCCAATTCCACTCTTGGGCATCGTAATTTGATAACAGTTTTGAGAGTGTCCTAGGGAGGTTTCTCGATCTTACAGCTCGGACTCAAACGATTGGGGAATCCATTCCCGAACCCCGAGCATGGATTGCCCTCAGACAGGCAAGAGTCGATACACGCTAGTAGAAACGCACATCATCGGCAGAGCATTGATTTGTCATTGACTGATACGTGAAGAGTCGATTCGGGACGCGAAGAACTGAGTATTCGACCGGCTGTCGTGTTCTCTCGCTTCTCTGCATCTCCTGCGAAACTCCTCAGACTCATCGGGAGTTCGTAGCGATATGCTCCTAGAGAGTAATGCAAGCATGTATTTCTGAAGACGGCTGTCGGCGTCGGTCTCTCATCTCTCCTCAGCCTAGGAATAACTTATCTACAGAAAAAGCTTTTCAATCGGCTCGAGTGTAAGTATGTTCCATCAGTTGGTCTAGATATTTTTTTTCCGAGTGTTTGACGGGATGTTCGTTCCAATCTTCGCAGGTAGGTACATTTCTCTCTTCAGTGCCGTCGCTGGTAGAATGCTCGACATTAGTTCTCGTTTATGGTGGGTGTTTAGCTCTGATCTTAGCTAGCTAGAAGGTGCTAGGCTCGCGAGAAGTCTCCCTTTTCTCTCGCATCGATCCTATGACCGAGCCTCAGGGTGACTTCGCTCCTACAGGATTATGCAGCATGCCGTACGGGGCTCTTCTGTCCTTGCATGTGCGATCCCGTGGAGGCGATCATTCGTAATCGCGTGTCTTGTGCTCTCAATGATTGATCCATCGACCGAACCCAACCTGCGACCCACTGATCTGAACGGTGTTCTCAGCGGACCCGGCTGTCGATCGACTCTCAATCAAACAATCATTCATACACAGAATGAGTAAGTTCCGTGGCCGGATCGATGTTCCTGAAACACGGTGCAAGCGTTTCCGAGCAGACGCACTCGTTTTAGACACTATCGGGCAACCGTCTGCTCTTCTAAATTGTTATACTTCTTCGGAAGTTGTATTCTCATCCGAACTCAATCCAGAGTATAGCCCCGTGAATCATTCCGTATGTACCAGTGGCAGAAGTGCGGTAGACTCAAGAAATTCGGCGCGGCGCCTCGAAAATTCCGGTGTTTTGCGTATGCCTCGTTTACGAAAAATGTGACGATGAATGAAGTGCTGACTCCGAACAAGCGAGACTGATTGACGTGAGCATGAGGACCGAATTTCGCAGACCTGACAAGATTAAGTGTTCCTATCTTCTACTGGTGTTCAGTGACTGTTGAATCGCTGTGGATATCCGAGATCTATCTGATATTGTCGAGCAAGCTTAGATTGCTTGAAGGCTGCAGCTCTCGAAGCGAGCTCTTGTTTGGCGATAGGAATAATCCTCAAAGTTCGATTTGTTGAAACGTCCCACTTGTTTGCTACGCAGTTTTACTGACAGCGCTCGAGGACATCAGCTCCATAGGCATTCGAGCCTTAGCAGAAGGATCCCGCTGACTGCTATACATCGTTATCTAGCCTTAGCGTCAGATCGTCACTGGCGCGAGTGATGCCGCGTACGGATTCCGCGCGGAGATGCGTGTGCAAGTTTGACGAATTCCGTGAGGGTGAACATTGATTTGCAACATCCATAAGGCTGGCATCAGACAAATATATCATTGGGATTACACGGTGTCGGAAAACCACGTCTTCATAATCACTATCCGGAACGAGATGGAAACGAGATCACCTCCTCTGGGGCGCTATGTTCGGGAGAAAGAATGAGTATCGATCGCACCCTGATTTGACCGCGGTCTCCTTTCGGATTTTAATGATGCTAAATTAAAAATCGGAAAGATCGATCGGGCATCGAACCCCCGAAATCTGTGATCCTCCGAAATTTTCCACGGACGGGGAAAGGGAACTTTTCCTAGCCAGGAAGCCCAGCTGATAGCTCTTTGCAACTCTCTCCAATGCTGATTCCTGGAACCGTTCGCCTGGATCGGTCAGAACAGAAAATCGACTTCCGCGCTTGCAGTCCGAGCGAAACGGCCACCCTAACCTGTTGTACTTGAGAGGCACGTTTGACAAGGGAATCTCAATCAACTTCCCCAAGAAATACGGAAATAGAATGTAATCACAGACTCAACTATTGATCATTGTTGTCTCATCGACGATTCTCTGTCAATAATTTGAACAGGCTTTCTACTCGGTGAACTTTCTCGATAGGAGGTATAGCCGCGGTTTTTCAATGGGGGTAGTCCCCAGAGCCGACGTTCCCACCGATCAGACAACAATGACGGCTAAAACAGAATATCCACCTCGGCGATCCTCCCTCGCCGTCTCATTATTTAGGCCATCTCCGCGAACGAGAGTTCCTCCAACTCGGACTCGACGTAGCAGCGAGCATTCAATGGATACCGGAGTCCACTGCAGTTCGGCTCACGTAAGACGTGGCATGACTATTCGAATGATTACGGAGCTGAAGTCCACGCGCAGAGACCCGTGTGTGTATGATGACATCAATGAAGTCGATGGAGTTTCAGATCGATGGTAGACTTTGTGACAGTTGTCCGTCTTTTGGGTGTCATTGTGTGTAATAAATGGTTGTCTCAATCTGTGAGCGAGAGCTGTTTCGAACCTCCCGTATACCATGGCTGGCACTTCTCCGGATCACAATTCTCTCCGCTTAGTCGATGCAACGTTGCGTTTTAAGCGGGCTCCTCCTCTACGGCTCATTACAGTCTTGAGTTTAGGTTTGTGCTCGGTCGTAGCCGAGGAGTTGTCGCATGAATTTCCGTCCATCCTACTGGTTAGCCCGCTGGTCAGCCTGCTTGCGAACTCGCTTGCGGAGCACTACATTTCAGGGATCTTTCGATCTTTGCGTCTTTCTGTGTTCGTCAGATCGTTCGACTGTCCGACATATGAACGGAATGAAAAGAAGGAAGATCTTTAACGCGGCAATCACAAACCCGAGTTTAAGGTGAAAACTGAAAAGCATGATATGGGTCAAAACAGAAGAAAAACCTTCTCCTTCCGTGGAATCTGATTTATCGATGGAGGAAATGTTGGGAAAGTATTCCAAAATCAAGGGACTCGGTGCCTGATTCTCTCACATTCAAAAAGAAGGTCCTCAGGAGAATCCATAGGACAATGACATAATGAACAATGGAGAATGATGAAAGTACAATTGCAGATAAGAGAATCGGGAGAGCAATGGTCAATTTACGTATCGGATCATAATCATTCTCCCCTCGTCCGCGGTATCACCCTCTCTGACAGCGACGCCCCCAGCTAGCTTTCAGTTTCTGGCTTCAATGGATCAACTTAGTGAAGTACTCAATATTTTCGGTTTCGAGGTCGGCTATCGATTCTAGAGATGAAATTCCTAATCTTGGCATTGAGTCCTCCGATATTCGAGCGAGGACATGAGTGCAACGACCGAATCCAACCAGGAATTCAGTCACGACCCGGAAACCAGTAGAAACCGCTAGGCCAATTTCGAACAACGTCGCAAGACAAAATCTTCCATTGTGTTGGAGCATTGAATTCCACGCGATTGTAGCTAGGCGTATCTCAGTTCGTAGATGCTATTCAAGCGTATAGATGGGGCGCCGAAAAGAGGCACGCGATCGTCGAAATTGCGGTAAATGCTGAGAAGAAGAGGAAGCACACTCGATCTATGACTTTAGCGGCAAATCGCCATTCCGAAACCTGGAAAAGAGTATCCTTCATTAGTTCATCAATAAGCAGAGAATACGCCCCAGAGTCTCACCACCAGGAGCGCCACGAGCCCTTCTAATGGAGGGCTCGTGTCTTCTGTCAGATAATCTTAAGCCGTCTACCCGAGCTCCGAATCGATTCATCTTGATTGTGTGTTACCCCAGTCATGAGTATTAATACAGTATTCACCATTCGGCCCGCTCGGAACGAGTCTCCGGACCTTCTAATTGAGCTGGGGACTATGCTGGATCCGCAAGCATGGATTGTGCGAAACGCGTCACAGCGTCAGATGCAAGAATTGCGTGTATCGAATGATTTTCTGTATAGGGTTCTACCCCCGAGACGAACTCGTGCTGGTGGCAGTGATGTGTACAGAGAACAGCGATAGGAACAGGAACGGTAGAAGATTTCTTAGGAGAGGCCATCGATAAAAATAATATTTTTTCCTCTTCTAAATCGGACGCAGTGTCGATATCAATCTTGGTGTCAAGTGAACCTCACAATCATGTCACGGAGCTAAGCTTTCAGCGAATGATGGATGTCAGGGCAGTAGAGCTCCCCGGCTGCCCTCGCCTACGTCAGGAATGAAGCGACTCTGATAGAGTTGCCAACCAAAAAAAATTTTGCACTCTGGGCGCACTAACGAGATTTGCTTGAGAGCCACCGAGAAGTTTCTCGTTTAGCGTCAGCCCGAAAGCCTCCGTCGCCAATGCGCCAATCAGTCCCGGCCTGCCAAAAAGCCCTCGGAAGTCACTTCGGCATTATTTAAGCAAGAAGTATGCCTTACTCGAGCGGAAGGCCATCCCGAGTACGGTATGGCTTTTCTTTACCGTCCGATGAGCTATGGGGCACGGTGAACTTGGCGCGGGGATCTTTCAAACGTTTATCCTCTCGAGGCTTTTTGGGAAGGTGAATCATTCGCAGCAGTCGAACTACCCATGTCGGGAGAGCTTTCTGAGCGGTGGATCATTTGTCAAGGGTATACGGGTCTGACGAAAAGCGACCGCGTTCATCCAAGCCCCGGCGGAAGCGTGTTGAGAGCGGCAGAAGGCTCAATCGCTCTAGTCTCGAAACATTTGGAGTCACCTCGACTCTGAACTTATACAGACACTCTGGGAAAAGGGAAAGATAATTCACTCGTCGATCAACCAAAGGAGCGACGGGAGTCACTCATTCTGATAGTACTTAGATATTTGGTCTTCATGGACGGCTTGAGCAGCCGAGGACAGTCGAGAACATTCGGAACGGATCTGCGAGGAGGTAATAAGCGCTCCTCCGAGAATCGCCGAGCGATTCTTCTCATCCAGAGCTCGTATCCGGTTCCACCGATCGCTCCAAGGCTGTTCAATGCGCACGGGAAGGCGGTGAGAGACAGGAAGAATAATTGCTACGAGCCGAAAACTCGAGCGATACTAATCGGGGGCAATCTGTTGAGAGATATCAATGACTTGTGATAACACCGTAATCTCCAGTGTTTCCGTTGCTGCCGTCGTGTGGAACGAGAATCAGATTAATCGACTCGCGAAACAATTACACTGACGCTCGCATTCAACTCCGTTTACGGAAGCGGTAATGAATCAAGCGTGCTCCGCTCTACTCGAGCACCGGAGGTCGGGAAGCAAGATCGGTTCGAGCGGCAACTAGATTCCGAGCCGCCTCGCTCCGTCAGAGAATATCGAGCCGATGCTCCCGAAACCGGGAAGCCGACATTCCAATCTGAATCCGCATAATGAAAATAGACATTGAAGACATTCGAAACAATGATTTCCACTTACGACTTCATGTTCCTCTTCGTCTTTCCTCATCTTGTCAGTAATATACCGGAGATCGACCATGATCGTTTGCAGTTCACGCGGAATGTTGGCCATCGAAGATGGAGCCGAGCTCGAGGGTTTGTCTATTGGGTCCGAGATGATATCGTGGTATGATCGATGGTGACGTGCAGACGAGCTGCTCCCACGGAACGAAGTACCAGTCCCGGCTGGGGGCTGTGACCTAGGCGGCGGCGGAGGATGCAAGTAACAGGCTGCGTTCGAAGGTCTGAAATCGTCCTCCAGATCAAGGACGTTAGCTAAGAGGCTGCGACTTGAGCGCTCTTTGAGCTCAAGCTCCTTGAACATCCGCCTAGCGGCACTCGATCGGAAACTCGGGGAGGCATTGCTTTCGGGCGAGCTCTGGCGCCGCTCGAGATTCGCTTTCAAGCTGGCAGGTACTTGCATTCGAAGAAGCCACGGAAGCCACACCAGGAATATGGATCGAACCTGTAAACAAGATATCCGCTTCCGTGTCAGCATCAGTGCACCAGCGCAGAGGTTTAATTGAATAGGGGACCGGGATCGGGTCCGCTTCCCGTGACGGGAAACGCGGGGCGATCTTCTCCCAGGGGAAGCGAAAATCTGAGACACGAAAATCTCCGATGGGATATTCAGATTGCTCGGGGCCCCGAGAGAAGTTATGAATAAATTGGAGGTGATCGTGGGAAACCCAAGAGAATCGTCAAGCGCAAAACGGGAAACGAAATTCCTTGCTAATAGTGGAACTCAGAGAGAGAAAAAAGAGAACTCACCCGAGCTGGCATCTACAAATTGGAATTCCGTCAAAGGAAGGAAGACGAAATCTGAACGTTCTGACATAAAGCATAAAAAATAACAGAGGAGAGATCTATGAACATTATTCAAGGAGTGAGAAACCAAGGAAAGAGTTCAGCTTCGGTTCTGAGATCTCTGTGAGCTGGGACCGAAGTGTATTCGGCATCCACGGGAAGGCGAAATGAGGACGAGAGACATGTACGTACCACTTTGGGCATCTCAGCGCATTCTTTGTTCCGATGATGATAATTTAGCACCAATACGGTCATAACCACAGAAAAGGCCACCATCATCATGATACAGGCGAAGTACGTTCCTGATATGATTGAATCTGGTTAGTGACCGAATCTACGCCCAGAACCGCGGCCAGAGCTTATCGTATTCGAACAATATATCCTTGGATCAGTCCTGCTCCAGAGCTCGGCTCAACTCAATCTCTCCGACTCGCCGGATGAGCGAAGATCGGAAATCCGCACCGTCATCGTTTTCCGCATACGACATAGTCCCTCCGTACATTTATTCAATGAGCGAGTCCCGTTTGAACAGAAGAGACCGCTAACCATGGAATTAAGATCTCATCCGATTTAGGGGCGCTTCGTTCTCCGGGGATCACGGAATCAGGACCGGGAACATGGGCAAGAATCGAGGATTCACATCATTCTACCAGGGGAACCCGCACTGCGGGGAATCATTTCCCCTATGGAGGACTCGCAACCTTGATGTCGTTCCTTTCTGTGCAACCTCTACATCAGCAGAGTCGACCCGGATCCGAACTCGTACCATGCGGGATATTCTTTGACCCGACTCCTAGCAATATGGATCCGAATCAATCTGCTCCGATAGGATGAGGCTGACTCGAGTCGCCTCAGAGCCGTCGCCACCACTTTGACCGACTCGGATGAGGCTCATGGAATCTGTTGAACTTCGAATCGAAAGTAGGGCAGGATTCGAAGTGAAGCGGAGCTGATCAGCGCTGAAATCTGGCAGGGGCTGACAGCCACGGCAGCCAAGCTTCACAGGGCGCGGGAGAAGAAGCCTCTCCGGAGACCGAGTCTGGTGAAAGCAGGCGAGATTCATTCGATGAGAGGCTTCATGAAGACTGACAAACGAGACAGCGATGATGCGGACTCGGGAGCGTTTTGTCGCATGAAATTGTACCTCGTTAATTAGGTCCCCATCAATGGATGCGTCTTGCCCCGAATAGCTCCCGAGTCACGCCTCTAAGCAGCTCCCCACTCTTTGCCCGAGTCTCGTCAAAATAGATTCTCATTGGAAGGTGAACACCAACGTGTCACGGGGTTCTGTTAGATTCCGCTTCGTAGCTCTCGTTTTCCCACCCTGAATAAGCGGCGGATGGCCGGCCGGGCATTCGGCATGCCCGTTGCCCGATTCCTCTCCGCAAGGTACTCCGGCAGCCCCGACCGAGGCGAAGATCGGTCACAAGTGTGGCGCCTGCGGCCTCAAGATAAATACGGGAAGCCTGGCAAGCTGGTCGAGTTCTCAATGTTGCGTGCCATTGAGCTCGCGGAGCTGTCGAGGCGAACCGGCTCGCTCGGTTTCTTCCCTGTTCTACTGCCGCTACAAGAAACGAAGACGACAACTTCCCCAAGTGATTCAAGAGGGCGGATTCGAGAGACGCAAGGACATGCATCATCCGAATCCGAGGACGACGGATTGCGGTTCGAAATTGAAGAGATTCATGTCGATGCGTTACCGATGGGAGTCGGCTCCGGAGCAGGATCACCAGCGGGAGCAGTAAGACCACTGCTTCCCGATCGTCGTGAGGCTAGTCCTCCGTAGAACATAGAATCGACCTATTATTAACTAGACTAGAGGTAATGATGCAAAGCTTGAGTGGAGGCACATGGAGTTAGAGATCGGTTTTCTTGTCATTTCGTTTCTTCGGTGAATTGTCAATGATCCCATCACTGGAAGCACACATAGTCAGTCAGGAGGAAACTCACAGTCAGATAATGGATTTATGGATGAGAAACGTTTCATACAGTTAATCAATCGATCAATCAAGGAGTCACACAAGTGCGCTATCGGCGAAAGTCTCGGCTCGAGGAACGGCGCAGGGAAAAGGGAATCGCGAAAGGCTCGGAGACATAGTGGAGCGTCGAAAAAGGAAGCGTCTCGCGAAGTGGAGTCTTCTCGTCTCTCAAATCCAAAAGCATAATCCAGAATCGTTTACGAAGTATTGGGCCCTCGACTAGATAAGGCTTGGGGTACATTCGATCTGGAAGTCCTCATCAAGATGGAATTCGAATGGAAAATCGTTCTCAAAACGAACATTGTTCTCGAAAAGCCTGAAAAAGTCTCATCTTACGAAAAATGCTCGCGGTAGACGGAGCTCTGATGTCTGAACTCTCAAAGTTTGGTTCCCCGTGCTTGCTGAGCGCTCCGGCGAAAAATGTCCTCAAAACTTGTCCGGAAGGAGCGTTGCCACGCCGGCCGGCGGCTCATCCGTGTTGATCCGGGTCATCTAACCTGATCCACAGGTAGGGTTGTCGTCGCTCTTATTCGCTCGAAAATTCAAAATACTACTCCGAAATCGGAAAAAGTTACGCGGTCCCCGAAAACGTGAATTCAGTCAATAAGAGCTCGGCGACTAGTCGGGGCTAATGGCTGAGTCTTCGTCACGGAGAACTCATCCAGGGAAAACCCTCGACGGGGGAGAGAGGGAGGGGAACGAGATTGGTTGAGGAGTGCCTCCGACGGAGCGCAAGGAACCGAGCCGGTCTTAAACTCTCGACTCATATCAGAAGCAACATGCAACCGAATTATTCTCTGAAGGAAAGCGAACGCATCTCCGAAGAATCGTTCCCGGAAGAAGAGACAACTAGCCTGGCTCGCCGTGCTAAGCAACTTCCCCTCGCAGATTGTGTGAATAGTTCACTTCCACAACCTCTTGCTACCGACTCAATCAGGTCACTCGTCCTGTGCAACGGAGAAAACCTCGACGACTGCGTCATCAGACTCCACTAATCCCTCGAGCGGGTCGTAAGACGAGCCGCAGTCTTCGACGACGACATCCACAACTGCCTTAGGACTTAAGCCCAGGCTTTGCATCTTGAATGTTGCACGTTTCAGCAACTCGCTCGCTGGCGAATTTCGCGTATCTGGGCAGAGGTAGATCTAGTCCAAGAGAACGCTTCAAGTCGATTCCGACCACAAGCGTAAAAATTGGATACAATGAAGACTCATATGGGCGCATATGTGTCTTATTATTACACATGGGCGCATCTGAAGCGTCAGCTTACAACTCACTCGGACGGAGACACCGTCGGGAGCGGCTGGAGTTTAGATTTCACCGATGAGTTCCGTAGCGTCGTTGCGCCCCGCAAAGTCTCGGGGACTCGCCACATCGAGTCACGCCGACTCGACGTGAACCACGCCGAGGTGGAGAACTTTGAAAAGTTGAGGACAAATCCGCCATTTGAAAGGAGCGCGATAGCCGGATGCTGTCAAGGTCGAACACCTGAGTCTCTCCTCTTCGACTCTCACCGAGTGTCTCCTGGGAGAATATGATCGAGTCGAAACTCAGTGGAGCGGTAAAATTCGGAAAACTCTCCTCTTCCCAGACTTCATCAGTTGAGCTCGCCGCCGTCACATCAACGTTATAATAAACGGGGCGTCATATGAGCCCTATGGAGATGACTTCTTTTTCCGCGGACTGAGTGACTTCTGAATGAACAGGAATGACGGGGCCGCCTTCAAGAGAAGAGAAATTCATCTCAATTTCAGCGTACATATTCGATCTTTCGCGCGTCGATCGGCGTTCTCCGAAGGATGATCGGAGAATAAGTGGAAGCCTGTGCGACGGAGTTTTCCTTAATTGATGGACAGCCGACTTTGCCGCCTATCTGCGGTCCTAGGCACTGGACCGGGGACATTGAGGTTTCCTGCGATACGATTTTCGGCAGGCTGAGTCGGTGTATTCTTATGAATCGACGAGAGAGATGCTAGAAGCGCAGGCATATTGAAACGAGACCAAAGGCAAACGAGTGAACAAGCATTGGAAGAGACAGAGCGGGGGGGGGGGCGGCGGCGAGGAACTAACACGTCGAGTTGAGCGCTTGCAGCATCTGTATCGGAAAATTGCTGAGCAAAGACTACGCGGAGCGGGCTCCTGACTTTTGGCGTAGCAAGTCGGCGACATTCGTAATACGCGGAAACTCTCTCTCAAGCGATGCTCGGATGTCAGAGAATAGGATCAGAGTTCTCGTCGTGACACTCAACAGGGAGTAGGGGGAACGAGAATCCCGACATCGAAGCTTAATGGAACGATCGGGAAGACACCGATTTAAGGAATCTGCTCCGGGATTATCACAGTACGGTCGTATGCGAGAATCTAGAACTTGATCGGAGGCAGGGATCTCGGTGAGCTTTGATGAGTGGATGATGATTTTTTGGTAACTCGGGAGATGAGGTCTTTGGAGCGAGCGCTCCGGATTCTGGAAATCATGACCGTATGTCTCGGCTGCGGATGCGTCTAGTCAACAAGGAACGGAAATTACCAATAAGCGGCACCGCGTCCGAAGTTTCTGGCATTTTTTCGCAAATCAGTAGCAAGAACACAACGAGCGAGAGTAGAATGGTTATTCCTGAAGAGAAAATGAAACACGTCCTCTTAGCCTTTCAGAGAGTCATTCAGGTCGCTCTACACTCAGCGATCTAGGGCTGTCCAGGACCCGGACGGTGAATGGCTATATGAATAAAGCGCGAGATCTAGGTGATTATGCTTCTCTCGCTTCATCGGGGGCTCGGAACTATTCTAAGCCATTCTTTTTTCGCCAATCACTGATATGGAAAATTTGCATGGTCATGCTGTGTGCACTCCCATCCAGCACCTCCGTCTGATGGCAGTGTCTTCGAACAGGATGATCCGTTCGAGGCAAGGACAAGGCCGGAAACCGGAACCTCTAGACTCTGGACGGACTACTTACCGTGGTTTGCAGGCGGGGTAAAGACCCATCGAGCAAACCGAACACTATTAGGATTGCAAGAGGAAATCACAAGAGGATTATCGACTGTCCCCGATCGGACTCGACAGATTCGTGATTCCAAGCTCGTGCTGATAAACTTTTCATGAAGCGCGAGCAGGGAACTTCTTCAACAGAGCTCTCTATCGAGCCTCCAGATTCTTGAAAGTCATCTCTTCTATAAAACGGATTCGAGACGCCGTATTCTGAAGTGAGCCGCGATTTGAAATGTGCATTCCAGCTGTAAGACCTCATGACTGCCAGCGCGACGACGGTTTCTATGAAAATTCTCCAAATATAAGCGGAATTTCCTCCTCCAGGTGCCTCCACCCTGTCCAAGAATCTCATAAGACTCCGGGTGGCATTCCCTGACGAACGAACCTATAATGGATACGGCGTCCGAAACTGGAGGCAAAGCTTCAGCCAGTTGCAACATGAATACAGTCAGAGACAACAGTATGGTGACACCTGTAAGAGACTGGGGGTTACGATTTCCGAGGTCCCCGCAGCTAGCTTCGCCATGGTCGACGGATTTCGCTCCGTGCAACTGTATCATACAAAACGTCGTGGGAGCACATGAGCAGTCGTGCCGGGCGAGTTGCCGGATGGATCCCGCCTGTCTGGAGTTCTACGATGTTTTCCCTCCTCCGAAGCGCTTGTGTGTAAGCGCCATGTTAGCTCTCCCCATCTCCCGAGAATCAGACACTGCAGATTAGGCGTGTAAGCGGAGACGCGATAACTCATTGTCACTCTTTGGGAGCCTTATGGAGCTTCTCAGTCGGAGGCAGTCGAGGCGCGAAAATTAATTTCGCTTAGGTAGCAGTCGCTCCACCAGAAGTGGCTGTTTGTGTTGTTTCCCGGGCGAAATTTGTCAAGACAGGAGCGAAATGGAGTCAGTCGAGATCCCTTGGACGCGTGGACAGATCGGCAGAGTTGGTTGGGGCCGCTCGCTAAGGACCAAAATCCTTCCGAGGGTAAAAATGGTAGGCGGTTCTCTCGGTGCAGCGCAGCCCTCGAAATTTTTCTCTGACGTCGGAACGCACAATCGCTTCTGCGAAGTCGAGGTCGAGTTCCGTGTTCTTGTTTTGATGATTCCAGTCAGCGCGTTCAGGAGGGTATTGCGAAGGAAGATGTTTCCCCTTCAATTTTCAATATTGACCGATCTCACCATATAGACAGACACGCTCCATTCGCGAGAGACAGAAGGGAAACACACGGATTGTTCGTCTCTCGCTCCGTTGAGACGGAAAGGTCCGGTCCCTCTTGTTCGAGAGATACCTGTCTTTCTTACACAGCGGACCGACTGGAATTAGGTCGTGATGTCGGAACGCAGGCGCAGATGAATATGGCGAAAGCTCTACCATGTGGTCGTAGATTAGGAGGATCAGCTGATTCAGTGGGAGAAGTCAATGTTCAGTCAATGATATGCTTTGAGAGGCTTGAGGTGCCGAGGAAGAGATCGAATCGACTTACCCAGGGTCAGACGCTCTCCAGTGTCTGGAGGCAGAGTGAAACCAAGAAGTGTCATGGATGATATCAACACGCAGGGTATGATGAGATTGACGCCATAGTAGAGAGTCCTCCGACGGATTTTTATCGTATAAGTGATGTCGATGTACGGCTCCGGACAGCACGTGTAATTGAACACGTTGCGTTCCCCCGGAAGCTCTGAGTGAGAGAATCGAATCACACACTTCATAATATCGTCACTACAGAGTCCCTCTGTTCGCTCTTTCTTATTTGGAAAACAGTCTTGGGGAAGCGGACTGTGAATTCTTGGTGCGTTAAGACATTGAGATTGAGGGGCGAATCCTACTTATGCCGCTTGGTTTGTGAATAGAGACCTCCGGTATACTTTCAGAGATCTCTGATACGAATGGAGAAATGCTGAAGATATCCGCTTCCAGTAATGATTAAAGAACTCGATACATAAGGAAGATGGATCTGAGTTCGAGCGGCATCGAGAGACATCCGGGAGCACTTCTCACCTAAGAGGTCCCATTCTCCGTTTGGGATATACGTAGTCAGGTCACCCCCGTCTTCGGAATTGAGTTGGAGATCTAACTGTAGTCCTGCATATGTCCACGATCCGAATTTCAGTTGGCACATTTGGTCGTCAAATGGGAACCATCGGATATTAATCTTGCACGTCGATTTGAAGATACCTGTCGATGCGTAAGTTTGCTTAACATTGAACGGGAAGACCTCATATCGGACTTTTCGAACAGACGGACGCTACGCACCTGGTGGAATATAATTACAGCTGCCGTTGCTGCGAACTACCACATTTGTGGGGTAAGTCCCATCGAACTTTTCGTCGGCGCTGGAATTTACAGTGAAAGGGATTCTGAGAACTCGTATCGCTCTGGAGTGGAAATCGAATAAGCCGAATTTGCGGGGATGTTGCCGCCGAATCGGGAGAGCAGGAAGAAATGTAACTGCATGTCCTCCCGATTTGAACCGTGATTCTACCGGAAGATCGCCGAAACTCGGGCTATCCATCATTCCGGACAAGACGGGCACAGCCGCTGACGGTGGAATACCATCCGTGGACAGCAGGTTCCGCGCTCAATTATGCTCGATCGTGACATAGGCGGGGACGTGTGAAGAACAACACTGGTGATGACGACTGGCATGACAGTAATTGGATGACGCGAAGACACTCCTTGGGCAAGCGCTTACTGTGGAAGATCTCGATTCGACCCGTTGTCATCGGCGTCCTCCTCATCGTCTCGTCTTTGATGTAGGAGTCATCGTCCTCGTTTCGCCTTGGTCATCTCAACTTTCCTTCCGTTAGCTGTCACTCAGTCAGTCAGCATCGCAATCGCGAGAGCTACATATGTGCCGCCATCAAAGATTGGACGTATTGGTATGCAAGCACGTTGTCTGGCCGTGGCAGTCGAGCAAGTAGGACTCCCGCTCCTCCGCAGAATGCCACCGCTCAACGGGGAATCGGTCGCGCACGCCACCGTCAAGGTCGTGGATTGTGCAAGGTCCTGCAGTAGTGAAGGACCGGGCAATGAACATGTGATTTGCGTCGAGCGTCTCGGAACAGAGAGGAGGATATTCTCGAGGAGAGAACTCTATGAAGGCTGTTGGGGGTACCCCTATCCGCGCAGAGCTCATGATGGGGTGCGCATGAAATTCGGCACCGAGTGAGTCACTGGGAGCTTGTTCGATAGAAAAAAGTGTTCCAGCGAGAGACCGAATTTCGAGCGAGATGGAGTCTCGCGGTGTTTGAATTCCCTAGACTTCTCGTTGTCGCGGGGTACACAAAATATTCCATCCGGAAAAAAGCAAGCGAAGGGTTTTTCGATTCCTAGCCGAACAGTCTGAAGCGATGGATTAGTATTCGGAAGAGAGTTCCCATATCGACGGACGGCTCTCGAAACTCTTTCATGACCCTGACGGCAGGCAGACGCATACGAGAGAAACTGCCATACTAGATTCCTGCTCCCGGCGGCTCATGCTTCTCCTTCGATCCCTCCGATCGGATGCTGACTTCAGCATTGAGAGTTCCGAAGAAGATGTCCGGTTTTGAGTGTAGGTGTATATAAGTAAGTGCGAATATTGGGAACTTCGGATTAGTCCGCCGATTCTGCTCGAATTAAACAGGGTTGAATCGCAAAATCAAGCTGTCCAATAGTCGAATCGTTCTCGTTCAGGTTCGATCATGCGTACGCTTCCTGTTTGACTTTCGAATCGCTCCGGAAGGGGACGGGTAGGTGTTTCGAAGGCTGACTCGCTTCCGGTAGATTATCACAGGTAGTTTGCCGACGATTAGCATCGATCCCCCAATGATCAAGACTGGATCGAGAAATGATGTGCTAGGGAGGGGACTTCCGATGACTGACTGAGATCATCCAAGGAGTTCTCAGGTGCCTAGGGAGACATCGATAACGCGAGGTGCCCAAGAGCGACTCCGTTGGGGAACGAGGGGTTCACCTGTTCTGAGCCTCGTTATCCTTATTTCCTATTCCTTCCCGAATTCTTTCACCTGTCGATTCCCGCGAAACGGTTTCCTGGTGAAACCCATGGATCACAAGGCGTGTCTCTGCTCACATCGGCTCGAATTTCGACATGCTAAGCCTTTATCTCTTCTGTTCCCACCCGTCTTTGAATCTATTGTCTCTAGATTCTCTCGGGTCGTCTGCCTGACCCGTTCGCCTTTCATTTGCACAGCGAGCACCCTCCCCCTTTTGCATCACATTCCACTGAGGTATCATTGGCAACCGCAAAGCGCCAGTCGCCGCGATCGCTAAGACCTTGTGGGAAAGGGCGGCTCATCCCGCTGGGACTCGGCACGCGGGACTGTGCGGCGAAAATCCCCTACTCAAGGTGCCGAAATTCGGCAAATTTACATACTCGTACTTAGTCAAGGCCGAGAGCTCGGGAGCCTTCTAGACATCTTTCATCAGCCCGCTGACATGAATAAGGAAAGCAGAGCCAAAGAAGCCTTGTAGGTACGACTTTCGAGTCTACCGAACGCAGATGCTGCCGAGTATGAGTGGCGTCTCGCAATCCGGAGCCCGATATCGGACCAGCCTGTTGGCGGAGCAAGTCTGGAAGCAGTAATTCCACCTAGGAGGAGCGCGTCGCTAAAATAGCGAGTTCGGAAAACTTCCGAGGGGGAGTGTGCTTCGGGGAAGCCGCCGAAAATGACATCGCCTCGGAACAAAATTCACCGAAGAGGAGTCAATATCTCTCCGAAACGGAACTTCGCGTAAGGAGAGAATTTTGAGGAGAGCCCCAGGCCAACCCCTCAGTGCGGCGGTGGAATGAAGGGAAAATGACCCAAGCAGCGAGATCAGCTTACGCTCGATTATTTCTTGTCGTAAGCTCCGCGGGGAGCTCCGAATCCCGGAGTTGCCGACTCGGTCTGTAGGTACTCACCTATTGTACATAAGGATATCCGGTTTCCATATTCTATGAGGAGGAATTCTAAGGTCGGACACTCCTCCGTACTTGGCTGGGTCCCAACGAAGGTTGACATCAACCCAATCCTGAAACGGTGCGACGACGGAGTACTCCATTAGAGAATCTTGTATGTCTCTTATAATAGTCGTTGTATATTCAGAATTCCGACTCAATCTGATGAACGTCACTTGCAATATTCTCGAAAAATCAAATCGTGCGAAGCCTCTTCCTACGATTCCTCTTTATCGGTGCGACGCCAACAGTGATTCAAAGGGAGCATCTTTTCTGACTGAGACTCGTCCCTCGATTCGACGCTGCGAATTCTGAATTGTCCAGGGTCCAGAGAGCAATAAAACATCTTCTCCAGGAAAGATACTTTCCACATCTCGGATATTTTCCTTCCTACACGATCCTGAATTCCAACTGAGCGATTGTAATTTCTGAATCAGCTTCGATTCGGAGAGGAATCAGATTACTGTCGGAGTTGACCTTTTCGTTCCTGTCCCGATTGGAAACTGTTGACGCCGCTTTGGGTCGCATTCCAGGGGATCACACTCCTTGTCTCTTGGGAAAAACACCGCCAATAAGCGAACAAGCTGATACGCGAGCGAACGAACAAACAACCAAACAAACATTCATGCCCACTCTGGTTAGCATACACCCAGCGAAAATCTTTCCCATGCTTCAGAGCATCGCTCAGGCGATCCGAAGGCGCTCGGACGAGAAGCTGCTGAATTTGTATCGGCGGGGACTTAGGCGGGATACAGAGGGAAGCGGAGACATTGCACGCCGGAGAAGAGTCGAGAGAGAAAGGAGCTCGCTCGCTTGCTCGCCCCCCTTGGAAATGCTGCAGGAAGCGCTGAAATGTGTCAGGTCTGCGCTGTTGAACGCCGAGTGGCTGTCGGTAAAGCGTTCTTCCTTTATTTCATTTCTGTCACAGGCCCCTTCTTTGCGTTTCGTCACGAATCTCGGAGAGCTCACACTCCTACAGGAATGAGTCAAAGAGGATGTCGTATCGATACCTTCTCTGATGGGGCCCCGGTGTACCCTTTCCGATCAGGTCTTTTTTCCTCTTGAATAATCTAGATAGGAGGAAGTCTCTCCGCCTGATATCGTCCTCCCGGACATACGTATGGAGATATCGTCTGATGACTCTATTTCCCCTCTCTCTCTGATCTAGCCTCCTGTCGAGATCCGACCAACACGTTTTAGCATTGTTCGGAGCAGATCAATGCCTGACATGGATACTTCCGTTAGGATCAGCTGTACTTGAAGGTCACGATAGCATGCAGTTGGAAATCGGTTTTATTCATTAGCCGTCCTTCATAACTTGATGTCTTTCGGAGAACCATTCCCGATAACCGCAGCTGTGCAAGATCATACGATTCAGGGGCCGAAATTCAGAGAACGTGTAGACTTCGGAAGGAATCAGTGTTTTGAAGCTTCCCGGTTTCCCATCCTACGTAGTGTGTCCAGGACTCGCACAAGAGCGACGAAAGCGACGGCTGGACGCTCAATAAACCCCGCACATTACCATTGAGCCGGGTACTAGACAGTGTTATCTCGCTCATGAATGATTGCCTCGCGGGAAAGCGGAAGAAAAGGAGATATGCTTCAAGACAAGAATCCAGTTGGCTTCGCTCATCATAATGACAATGCATCTATCCTCTCACGTACGCACACAGAATGGCTGAGCGCCAGCAACTGAGAGAGGGGCCAGTGTGAGAAATAGATTCAGAAGACAGAGAGAGATAGTGCTCCCACTGCGGGAGTCTGGAGTGACAGAAAAAGACGGTGCTGCCGAGATAATACGTGGAACCTAAAAGATCGTCAGCAACAATCGCTTCTCGGAAGGCCGTGACACACGAATGGTTTCTCCAGCAGTCGGACATGGCACGGTTCCGCGCCGGAGCGTGCGTACGCTAAAAGGGAGAGGGAAAATTTTGCTATGAGAGCCCTACGTATTCGATGCGGGAAACCGGCCCCTCTGAGAGGCGAGGAAAGCAATGGTTTCAACCTAATCACAATCAGTCGCACATTGTGCATGCGGATATCCGATTGAATTAATTGCAAAACCTCGATAGGTATGGTAGTTCCGCGTACTCGATCACCGACTTGAAGTCTGCTCGGACACACGTTGCGCCCAAGAAAACCCACGCGAGAACGAAGCATTATTGCATAGAATACCGTTAACACCTTGTCAAGTCTCCGACATTGCGTTTCTACCGACGCATCGTCTCGCTTCCCTTCCTGTGAATAGCGAGCAGGGTAATGGGGATGATCACAGCTCCGGCTATCTCCTCTAGGAAGGCGTAAGTTCCTTCTGCAAATCCTTCGGGTTGTGACGCAACCTCGTACTCTTCTCTCGACCCTCGCCTTCGCAGAGCAACGCAAGTGAGACGTGTCTGCACATATGTGCATATTCATGGTCATATAAATGTTCCGAAGTCCAGCACGGAATCTCACGCAATATCCGGCCAATTACCCCATCGGGCAGTCATTCTGGAGGCTCGTTCGTCGTCGGTAGAGAGATCCAACACTTCGGGTGTTTGCGACGAGATTCACGCCTTGCCGATTCGGAGCAAGACTGTCTTTCCGAAGCTCTCTCATTTTTTTCCAATAATGGGCGCGCAGGTGTCTCTCGACCGCCCTTGGGGGCAGGGAGCCGGGGAGAAACAGCGGGAACTGACACCAATTGGACCGCATGCCGGTTTTATCGCTTTTTGTAACAAAGCACTCACTACCACACCTGTATGCGATGCCTGGTGAATTCCCTTCGTTTTCGACAAAAAACCGTCCCGACCGTCGTCCTCGAGAACGGAATAAATCCTCACCGAGCCACCGGGGCTCACATCTCCGCGACTGGTATCCCCTTGCTTGCTCGAGAAGGATGAGAGAATGTACCACAAATACTTCCCCACTCCGAACATTCTTTCGGTTGTGATTGTCATCGTCGTCGGCGAAGGCGGCCATACAGAGGCGATTTGTTCCTCCAAGGGAGCTCGATTCAAGTGTTTTTCCTGCCTGTCCCCTGTCCCCTGTCCGCAACCGTAATTCCGCGCTTTTCCAACGTCGGCGTCGTTCCGCAGAAGCCTCACATTCGCTGAACTTTTTGGACAGTGATGTGCAACTTTCGCTGGCATGTTCGGTATGGGCGTCTCCCTCCTGGGAGGGAAAGTTCCTTCGGGCCATTCGATGAAATGTTCAGGCGCCACGCGGCCTCGAGCAGAAAGCGAGAGCCGATGATATTCGATTCGGATCCATGATCGTGCGTTGTTTCACGACAATGCCGATGTCTGGAGGAAATTTGTCCCACATAATTGTGGAGAAGAGAACAGCGATGGTTTTCCCCGCAATGCAGACTTGCGACGAGGCAATGGATGAAACGCTCTCCGAATCTCTCCTCTCTCCCTTGACGAATGCGAGGGAATGGGAACTCCGTCTGGAACAGAAGTTGCCGAAGACCTGGCAAAGAACCGAAGTTTCCATTCAAATCCCCAGAAACGGTCCGTCTCCGGCTCGTTTTCCATCTCCCTTTGGATTCCATTATATCGAACGGTGCAATTGGTTCGCCCGAAGAAGCGACTGCCAACAAAGTTGATCACCAGCCTCGGTTTCTGAGGCCGCTCCCAGCACTGAAGAACCAGAGGGGCTAAATTCGATTCGAGTTGAAAAGCTGTTCCTGCTCCTCTTCGGAAGTGCAGGAGCAGCAGTCTCTCTCGAAGCTCTGACTGAGTAGTCTCTCTGCCATCTCCCGGCGTTCCAAATTCGAGACCGCGCAAGGAACGCCGAAAAAGCAACTCGCCCCTAACTCAGCTCTACTGGTGTTTTACCGACGATCAGTTGTCTGTTGAGTCGGGCTCAACAATCTGAACCCCATGAAGGTGTCTGTCCATCTATCCTGCTTACGATCCCCTTTCGGCTCACACCATGTCGCCTCGTGAACGGAATGGAGACCTTACCCCTGGATCCTCGTCCCGAATCGTCAGAAGCGAAATTCTAGAACTGGGAAACCTTTCCGACGCGGTAGGCGTTCGCCTTTTGTCCCGCCTTCGATTTTGCAGACCTGCGGAAAGCCCGGAAAAAGAAAACAGTGTGTGTCATGCCAGGCCTGACGCTGGATGGGTGGTTGGGCAGGGGGTCCGAAGGCTGACAACCAGAGTTGCTCTCTTTTTTCATTGACAATGTTTTTTGTCAACCTGACGACTTTTGTTCGGAGCCTTTGTGCTCAAAGGGAGCATGTTCCGTCGAAATCGTTGAATGTGGTCGCTCCGCTCCGAGAGTCACTTCGATCACGGCACTACCGTTTTACAGAGTTCGCGGGAGCTATGCCAGCTAACGCCGTGGAGCCGCGGTCGGTCGTAAGCATTGGAGCGCTGCGCGAATCTCGGCGACTGTATTGGCTGTGAATGGCGGTTGGCGCTGGCTCTGACAACGACGTCATCGATGATCCGTTCTGGAGCACAGGAACGTCGAGGGAGTCATTGTCTCGGTGTTCCGGGGCCATTATCACGTCACCAGGCGGCACCGCGTGAAGTCCGCAAGGTGATCCTAATGCCTGCGCATTTTTCATGGGGACTCGGTCCCCTCCGGTTAAATATTCCGCCGATGTTGGGGAAGAACCCTCCTGGAGCTGTGAGCTTGCGCCGAAATTTCAAAGTCTTGTTGAATAAGTCTTCGCGGGTGTTCAATTCTGCATGCGATGTATATTCCCTTGCATTATCCGTGTGAGATGCATTCGCCCGTTTCCTTCTTCTGCTTCGCTCCAAGTACATAACATACATATACCTAAGCCGCCTCTGCGTCGAACGCAGCGCGATGCGAGTTCGGGATGAAAACAAAAGGTGAGAAATTCCGAGGAGCCCTTTCTCGTGAATGCAGCATCGGAGATTCGTTCTGTCCGCTTTTAGCGGACGAGATTGAATTGTGGAGGCAACACCGCCGGAAGATTTGGAATTGTAGGCATCGCTCTCGGGAGGCGGGATTAGAGCACGGAGGAGCGAAGACCGGTCGAAATGCAAGGGAAACTTCGAAGCGCGAGGAGGAATTTCTTCGTTCTCTCCATCTTCAGCTCAAACCGAGAACGAGCCTCACCTCCGATGCGTTTGAGTGTCGTAATCGTTCCTCAGCATTCCGAAGCTGCCATCTGCTTCACCGTGAATCTTCTCAGATTCGAAACGAAAACACCGACTTCACCCAGGTGAATCAAGAGACGGGCGTGGGCGATCCAATTCAAGTGCGCGACATGAAGTCGGGAAGAGCAAGCTGTCTGGCGGCGGACGAAATCGCTTGCCCTTCTCGGACCGGTTCTCCAGTCAGATGTTCATTCCTTCGTTTCTTTCAGCAGGATGTATAGCATTCCTCGTACCCGTCCTATTAATCCAACCGGCGATGCCTTCGAGATGAACCGGCTGGGAAAACTTCGTCTCCACACGTTTTGGGGAAGAGAATCGGAGAATCCGGGTGGGGAATTCTCGTCCTCGTGGTCATTATCCTTCGGATGAAGTTCCTTGATCTTCCTCAATCTGTGAAAGATTGCCGTGCGAAAATCCGTCGTAGGTGTGATGGGTGGAAGTCGGTGGACCGTCGTCTTCACTCTAGTCAATGTCCAGGGCCATGATTGAACCCTGTGCAAAATTCATAGGATTTGGAGCGCGATCGGATGTTATGGTTGTGTTCCGGGACCGGCATTCTGCCGACGAACTCCGTTTGGAATCGACAGCTCCGGAGAAACGAAAAATCTATCAGGTGTGGGTTTGAGCACATTTGTTTCCCTCTCAGAGGGCATTCTGACGAAGTCGATCGAGAGGTTCAATGCACGGCGGAAGTCTAGTAGCAGTGTCGACGACTCGGTGCTCCAGATAATTCCCGCTACGAAAAACGACAAAGATTGCGATTTCAAAAATCAACGCCACGTCCAGAGCAAGGCTGAGGATAGACAGCCATCGAAGCCATTCCTTGGGGCGCTGTGGAGACGAGAAGGATCGGGAGCATGCGGCTAAGCTTACACACAGAAAATGGATCAGTTAGACCCGAGCTTGATTAGTTTTCAATACATTCAACAGGGTTCGAACGTGTCGACTCAGCTCATATGCATCATATAGCTTCAGCCCGATTCTGAGTGGCTTTGATTATGCCACTGAGAAAAAAGACTAGGATTCTTCAGGACCCTAGGATGTATCGAGAGCCTATTCCTGACGAAACGGGTGTTTAAAATCTCCGGTGACCGTGCCCCGTAGGACATGCACAGATTCAATGCTTATTTTTTCGGCTGCGAATTCTTCTCCATCGAAGGGATTGTGGGTCTTCCCAACGCTTCCTATACGTGCGCGAGTTCCGCAGCCTCGAATGAACAATCGAATTGTGGGAATTGAACCATTTGGGCTGGCAACAATCGGATTCGACCCTGCGGATCGGCCGGCTCTCCATGATGGACAGTCGATAGGGAATGGATACCAAGCAATCACGGCAATAGCCAACTGACCCGACACGATTCTCATCGACAGAAGTTAGAATGTGAGGCTCCCGCAATTATGTGCCTATCAGGAATCATTGCGTTAGAGACTTTTTTCACACAGTCTTCCGACGCTTTCACGAGACTGGAAAAGTCTCTCTGAGCTGCGACTTCCGAGCTCGATTCCCTCCCTCGAATCCGTGTGCTGCTGCCGCGATCGTCGAGAGAGACAGGAACGCGATGAAAACTCAGGGGATATTCCACATGATTGAATTGACTCGATCGGAACCGAAAGGGATGGTGGCGTCGAATGCCCCTCTCAAATCACTCCGGAAATTAAGAACATTAACGGCATACTCTGTAGAATCGCAGCAGGCATAGGTATGAGATCTTCATTTTACATTGGCCGAAGGGCGCCTTTTGCCGATCGGCAATTGGCGAATCTGGTTGGACCAAACGTATGTTAAAATCCGGGGACCTTCGACATGAGGGGTGAGTGTGGAATCGGATGATTTCAAAGGTGCATTAACGATGGCTCATATGCATATCATTCAAGCGGTGGCTGAAATCGGAAGGGGAAGCATAGGCACATGGGAGGACGGTGACGTGAAGAATGAGGTAGGAAATGAGTTGAGTTGGTGGGAAGCCGGGAAGTTTGTCGTTCCGGTTCGAGGCCTTCCATCGCTGGAAAAGGAAGTTGTGGACCTGTGCATGGATTTGCGCCGAATTGAGGATATTGCAGACCCCGGGCCCGCTCCCCGATAGTGAGGGTGATCAAGCTCCATTCTCTCAATCACTGAGGATGACGAATCGGGTGAACAGTTTGACCGCAGCTCGGAAATGGGACGAAAGTGGGGACAGCCGCAAAATCTTCACTTTGCTGATCCGCAGAGAAGAGGTAGCCGAAGTGGTAGTCAGTGCAGAAGAATGAAAACGGAATCATGAGACACGCAAAATCTGTTCCCGACACCACGCCGCCAGACAAAGGAGCGAGCAAGCCGTTGAGCCTGAGCTCGAAGCGAAGCCGTGAAAAACGGATTGTTTCCCGAACAATCAACATATCGATCTATCAATGAACCAGACAAGCTTGACTCACTCGCTGTCAATAGGGCAAACTTACCAATTTTAACCACAGATTAGTTACAATAAGTTGGTTCTTTTCGTCCTAGAATACCAACCCGCAGCAAAACGACCACGTCGAAAATACACGGGGTGGATTCGGGGGAGGAGGGATGGGAAGAGAGAAAAAGAAAAGCCAGACATTAGCTCTCGCGTCGGAAATCAGGAAAGCTCGTAATTCTATTGATATTGATTAGTATTCGAAGCAGCCGGCGATCAGGACTGTATGCCCATTTCTAGACCATTCAGCATTTCACGGCGACTCAGAGTCTGGGATGCTGACTCATCGACATCCCCATCAGATGTCAAAGTCATTATTCCGGAAGAGAGATAGTCCCATCCATAGAGAGGCCTGAGCATTAGTTCTGATTGAGCGAGCGAGTTTATTCCGGAGACCTCTTGTCGAATAGAGTCCAGAATCCAAGCTAGATATAGTCCGAACTGATTAGACCGAATTCTAACCAAAGCGTCATGGGCATTTCTCACGGCTTTTCTCGAGATCCTATTTCCAGAAATAGCATCGAATCAGTAGTTGCACCGAATTCGAGAGCGAAGCGAATCGACAGCTGCTAGAGGCGAAAAGTTTAAATGCTTCGCGGGTGCCATTTAAGAAATATATGTATTGTTTCGAGATCGAACAGAAGTATTTTAAGCTTGATCACGTAGCGTCCTTGATTTCTCATACGCCTCCATCGATAAATTTTCAGCATGAAGGGCATTATCAGCAGTACCTATTCGCTTGGCTGGAACGATCGTGAGGATGACGCTCAACGCCGCAGAATGACTTCTGGTCGCGGATGAATGAAGTGGACATCACTCCTTTATTCTCTCAAAAGAGATTGCATTTCGAAATATCGATCTCTCAGGGTTCACCCATCATCCCTCGTTGAAACTGAGCTCCGGTGGGAAGCAGTCCTCCTATAGTCGAAGTAGAGCGTCCGCTATCAAATAACGTATGTATCTCGGATCGAGCGACCCCAATATCAGGAAGTCGTAACAAATTGATGTGAGCGCAGACAAGCGACGGGTGTTATCTGAACGGGCGGGGCGGTGTGATTGATTTCAGGCGGCTGAGCATCACTGGCTGCCACGCTCGCGGAGCAATCTTTCCCCTGAGAACACCTTGTCGTCCCCAAGCTCAGACATCGGACAAAAAAATGCTCTAAACGGCTTTTCCTTTGTTTCCGTTTCGATATAGGGACGACCCTCATCGACTTGAGACTTCCTCCGCGATCGTACTCATTTCCTTCCGAATCGACTCCAAACTCATGTGGAAGTAGGTAATCCAATCAGAGGCCGGGAACCTATGATATATTAGCCGTTTTTTTCTTGACGGCTTCGACCAGCTCCGAGACACTCGGTCGTGGAGTTCGTGCCATCCGCGACAGAAACGACTCATAAAGTCCAGGGGATAAAGAGATCCTTGGATATGGACAATATGGAGACTGAGGAACGATGGAATCGTTGCCCCGGCGGAAGGGTTGCCGATAAAAACCTATTTCCTAGCCAGCAGATTCAATTGCGACTACGATCGGGGAACTCGACTCTCACACACATCCATCTTTTCATACGGACGAGGATCATATACACACTCATGGTCACACGTAACATACACGGATTTACATCGAATGCGTATCTTTGACAATTTTAGGCTCGAGGTTTGGCTCAGGCTTGAGTAATCGGATACGGCCGGGTGGGGTCATTGCCTTGCTTCTCAGAACGCTCTGCCAACAGATAGGTGGGAAAATCATCGATTGGATGAATCCATCTACAAAATGATAAAGTAATAAAACTGACACATGCCGCACAAGAATGATATGATCATATGTCTCTTCGTCACCGAATGAGGCGAGACATTTTGACTTTTTCTACTCCTGGAAACCGCCAAAGTTTTCGGATCTGAACTTGAGTTCATTCTCTGTCGCATATTGCGAGGTGCTCGCTAGGCGAATTCGTTCACCCATCGTGCCTTCACCCCGACAGCTCGGGTCTCATATCAAGCTATCAGAGAATGGGATCTGCTCGGCAAAAAGAGCTCATAACTGTTCCTGAACGCGGAGGATACACATTCTACTCTCGCGAGGAATCTCGATACGTTTTCAGGAATAGGCGAAACATATTTTTCCCAGCAGAAAACATATGTTCTCATTTTACACAGAAACAGACGTAGTTTCCTAATTTTCCATGGAGAGAAGTGTCGAAGGAATATTCCAAGATCTTATAAGCTCCGCAGACGGGAAAGCGGAGCATTCGGGACGGATTGGCGAAGCAGATTTTTTCCAAGATCGGCTTGGTGCGGACCATCAGGTAAGGAGCTTTTTGCTTCGATTCTGTTGAAGTCAAGAGCGCTAAACAGAGAATCGTTCCCATGAACAACACAAACAACATTGACGACAATGGCGACAATAACATCCACAATACAAACAGCATCCGTGACAATATTCGTGATGCTGGTTCTGGTAGACTTAGCAGCTTCCAATTCGAGACAGCAGTCCGGAAGAGGGAATACGCTAATCAACGAACTCGAAAACAGAGGTACTGAACTCAAAATCGTTTAGTCGTTGCTTATTGGTGTCGTCTATCTTTCGGTTATTCAAACAAACTTTTAAAAAAGGAAGATGGAAACGAGTAGTGAAGGTTTCCGCGAGCTTGCTTCTGCTTACCAGATTCAACCAAAGATTCGTCGTGATTATCTGGTTCTTCTCGTCCTAGGCAGATAGAATGCGAGCCGATTTGTTAGTAAATGTGGGACTCTCTTCTTCAAACAAATCAAGTGGCGTGAAATCATCTGGATGAGCACAGATATGCGGAGCGCAGGAGTGATCGATATCTGTTTGGCATATATGTATCCTTCGAACGCATAATCTTCAGTTCGACGGTACCATAATCATAAGCAAACGCTATCTAGTCGCCGCGGAAGCACAGCGCTGAAGGTTTGTTTCATCAATCACGAAATAGAGCAACGATTTAATATCGGAGTATCTCTCCAGGAGCCTGTCTTACAGGCCACTGGCAACACTCTAACCTCCCGTAATGAAGATGCATAATTTCATCATCTCCGAGGAGATGTAGGATTTTGGACTATCCTAATTGCTCTGCAGCCCCAGAGCTGGAACAGCCCGTTATCCGGGAATGTTCTGACACACAACACACAACCCCACCTACACTAGGAAAAAAATACACGAATGATATGCGGACTTCTCTGGTCGACTCTTGGCGCCGATTCCCCATTCTACTGTCTGGAGAAACGTTTGACAGCGAGTATCGCGAGCATCGGCAAAAACTCGAATTGCGAAATTCATATCATAGCTTCTGAAACCACAACATACCCATGATGGCTTCTATCGTTCGGGCATCGTCATAATCTGTCTCAGGGGCGAGAAGATGTACGAGAGGGCCTGTCAGTGAGTATGCGTGATAGCTGGCAAGTGTCGAGCACCCGGGCTCGCATAGTATACTTACATCAGGATCCGCAGTAATCCTATTATGGCCGCGCTGTCCCAGAGTAGCTTCGCCCCCGAACGCGCCGATAACATCCTCACGGAGTTACTCAGCGGTCTCCGACAGCTAAAAACTCGCACTTGAAATTTGTCGCGTCCGTTCTCTCTCAGTTTCCGCCGGTCGGCAATTATATCGCATATCCGGTATGATTTGAATCGTCGGGCCGTAGCAACAAGTTAGGCCCCGCTGCTTGAGGTGGGCTCCGGGCGAGCCGCCGCGGGATATTCCGACTGGCGCATCGAGATCTCTACCAGACCCGACTCCACTCGCGCACTCAAAATCGTACAGAAGATTAACGGCGCAACGCAAGTGGGCCATCCGGCGTGGATTCGATGAATTCGAGATCGGGGACGATTCAGCGCGCAGAATAGGACCTGGATGAATTCTCGTTCGCTCAAGAGAAGTCAGATTCCTCGTTAAGTACAGCAGTTCCGGCGGTCACTCCAGCACGATCCGATGACGAGCAAGCTATCGCTGGATCTAAGATCGGAAAAATCATCAAAGAACGATCCACTCGTGTCCGAACATCCGTAAGATCGGGCCTACAATTCAATAGTGAAGCGAGCACATAGATCGAGACTTGAACGGACCCCCTCTCGCACATCGACCTTGGGACTCCGGATGGCAACAGTCCCATCGGGATTGACTCGAGCACGCTGCGCGCGTACACGCCTGTGCGCAAATTGGATATGTTCCGCGTGACCGTATTCACGGGTTGCTTCATTTTGCTCTTTCCGAAGTTGTTGTTCGCGCGGACTTCGGCACAGAACATCGACTTACGACTCAGAATGCTTCCGCAGTCTCTTAATCTGCATTTAGATTACAAATCGTGATGCGAGTTCGCCTGATCGGCTGCACCTTTCCATACCCTCCGTGTCGGCACGTGCGTCGAGGGTAAACATTCGTAAAAGAGAGAATATCGACCCTTAGGTAATGGGTCACGCCGGCGTCGACTCCCATAAGCTCGAGCACATCTTTGCCGATCGAGGGAGCGGCGGCGGAACTTATCCGAAGCTCAAGAGACAGCCGAGTGCTTACTCTGATAGTGCAAGGATTGCATCCGCTCCGGGATCTCGCAGTTAGCGAATCGCTCCAGAATAATTTCCTGTAGGTACTCTTCGAAATTCTCCGGTATCTTCTCAAATCGCCCGATTCCCCAAGATTGGGATAGCTCGATCGATAAACGTGTCCCCTCCTAATGGCACGTTGTGTCGCTTTGGCCCTCATCCCGATCGCCGGCGAACCGCCATTAGAGACTGAAGATATAAAAAAAAGGCTTTTTCGTCGCTGCAGTAATCCCCGCCAATGAGCAGCTTTCAAAGATACGACTTCTCCGAGCAGCGGACTCCTGTACTGTACGTGTCGATGAACCTTTCTCCCAGCTGCGATGAGTCTCCAGATGTATTGGAGTGATAAAAATCATTTATTTTCATCGATGAGGCACCTTGGGATGAGGACCGATGACGGAGCAGCAACGGTGTATTAGCAAATTACCGAGTTGTGGTCAAGATCAGACCCCTCCGGCTGACGCCAATTCGTAGCCCTGAGATGTGTTCGCCGTCGACGGTTTGTCGCCTCCGACACATCTGTCGACGGTCGATTTCTCTTCTCGATATCGGGCCAGCTGACCCATCAACTTCCAATACGAACGCTGTATAGCGATGTACTTGTGTCAATGATCGATGGGTGTCTAGTTTATGAGCAAAGCTGTCCGTGACTCTATGTGATCATTTCCACGTCTCCGCATGGAGAGCGACGAGAAGGCGGGAAGAGTTCATCTATCCCTCGATTACTCCCCCCTGTCCCTCCGTACAATTTTCCTACCCCTCGCATTTTCCCAGTGGGATTCGGAAAATATGGGGTCGGAAGGTATTGAGGAAGGAAGATCCTTGATGAAGGGCAGGTCGACAACACGCACACCTGGCGGAGCTCGAGGAGTTTCTCGGAAACCGATAGGGAGCCCAACAGCCTGACAATGCTAATTCAAGAGGTGCGCTGACATAGCGTTAGTTTGGGTCGGCTTCCAGCAACTCGTTCCGGAGATGAAATCCCGATTGAATTCGAGCTAACTCGATCGATTTCTCAGTGGAACTCAGGGTTCCAATCGGAGAAGGCTTGCTCATGAGTTCGAGGTTCGGCTCTCGAAATCTCGGATTTCGACACGTTTATGATTCCGCGGGCGGAAAGCGATCGCATGGAACGGCACGGACTTCTCGCTTCGAGTTGAAACCCGGAGATGCTGAGGAAATCCAAAAGCCAAGTTAGCTGGAATGTTCAGGTGGACAACGAGCCCGCTGAGGAAGATGTGAAACGATTCCGCTTGTCGCAGAGAGACTTTTCAAAGCTCTCAAAGGAGGTCTGCCAGATTTCCGAGCTGCTCGTCCGAACTTCGCTGCTCAAAGCAGCTTCGAACTTCCGAGTGAAACCTTTGAGTTTGAGTCAGGATGCACGGATGGGCATCCGGAGAACGGAGCACGGAACGATTCTGCGATTGAGAAGAGAGAGACCTCGATCAGGGAAGCCAACAACGATGGTCACCGAGTTCTCCGAAGCGTCAGCGAGCACATCCGATCACGTCAGCACAAAGTTGCAGCGATAGCGGAAAGAACCATTTTTCTCTAGTCACTGATTGACAATCTCTTCCTTGTGAGTGACTGCCGCGCGCTCAGTCAGAGCTGGACGAAGCGCGCGCTCTGAATTCAATCGAGGTCGAAAACGATTGAAACCTGGCACGGTCTGTCGTCTGTCGGGACTACGATTGCCATTCTCGGAGGTCCCGCGCGAATTCGTCGCAGAATCGGCCCAATGCGAAAGTTCCCGACTATGGCGAACGGGAGACGAATTTGCCGAAAAACAGAAAGGGACGGTAGATGAGCTGAGCGAAACCGTCCGAATTCGACGATGAATCATCGCATTACTCCGCGGAGCGCATCCGGCCGCTGTACTTGAAAGTCTCCCCTCATCCCGCAGGCGGACCTGCATCCAACTGAGGTGGGCCTCGCTAGCTGAGAGTGCCATAAACCACGATGTTATATACTTTCAGCACAAAAAACAATATGCCTTTGATGGCGATGCAGCTGCTACGGCCGCGGCCGTGTGCGTGCTGCAGACACTGCCGCCACCGGTAGGCGGGCCTGAAGCGACAACAGCGACCTTAAGTGTCTGCCGGGTCGTCCATCTGTTCGTCGCTTCCCCTCGTCCTCCGCATGAGTGTGAGGATCTGAGCCTGCGTGTTCAGGCTCCGGTAGATCCGGCTTGTAGGTTCAGGTGAAGCCCTTCGGGATGGACGCAATCTCGCGCTCGGTGGTGAGAAAGAGCTCATCATCGGAGTCCCTCGTTTCGCCCACAGGCAACTTGTTACGGAATTCCAGTCTCATGAACGAGTCGCTCGCCAACAAGCCGAGCTCGCCGGCAAGCGTGGCTGAATAGGAGGAACCTTGCCCTGCCGAAGGACCGACAAGCGAATGAGCGCCACAGAAGGGGCCCGAGGGCTACGGGCCAAGTTAGGCTGCGTCATACCTAGAAGTCGGAGTCGTTTTTTCCTCCATTTCCGAGTCGCTAGCAGCAACCGCTCGGCATTGGCCAGCGAGCCCACATCGAATCCACTAGCTTCAGGCCTCTACCCATGGGAGCCGAAGTTTCGCATGATCAGAGTGGTCCTGGGGGATGCCGAGGTCATAATGAGATTACCGGAAGGGGGTTCCGTTGGGCCGCCGTAGAGACCCATTATCGATGCTCCGGGAGACGATGGGATCGCAAGCTCTCATTTTGCCTCCGTAAACTCCTTCATAATTGATGCAGTCCAGTTCCTCGCTGAAGTGAAATTTTACACCCGCGGGCGAGCGACGACGCGACACGAAAGATACGCGTAACCTGTCTTCGAGTATGGGGTGAAACTCGACCCAGCGACCACTTGAGCTCAGAGATCGAGGGTTGCCGATGCTTCGGAGGAAAGAAAACACAAGGCTGCTTTTCTAATGCATTGTCAATCAAAACCAGCCCCAAATATTTATTGTTGACTTTTCCTCTTCCCTTTGAGGTTGAAGGCCGCGGCAGCGCTGATGCGTATCGACCTTCGACTCCCAAGGGGGTGGGTAGGAGGTTCAAATTGCTCGTCCGTCAATGTCGTCGTCAAAAGGAGATCATCGCAACTGGATGAGTGTTCTTATCTTAGGTATAATATGCCTTGAATAACAATCGTATTCCGCTGTTAGGATTATAAGAAGTCGTCATAAGCATCACAATGAATCGTTTCTGCTTCAATCCTACGAGAAGCGACGAGGAAACTGTGGGAGTTTTCCGATTGGTTCGAGGTTGAGAGTCCGCCTGGACACGGAAGCAGCTCATTCCCAATCAGTCAATGTCGACCCTATTCAAAGTTTGATAACTATCGACTGCTCAATGATACCAATCTCGTCCGGCTAATCTAAACGTCGGTCCACGGTACCTATGCACGGAAATATAACATTCAGAATGGAACTGTTGCCATTTCTATAATAGAATATCGATGCAGACCAGGTCATGGGAATGGCCAGGTTCGCTAAAAATATTTCATGAGGTCATAGTAGGTCTCGGAGAAAACCGGTTCAACTTGGATATCTGTTATGCGTTGTCAGTCTCCACGTCGGGTGTTGGAAAGAGTTTCTGAGTTCGGGAACAGGTAGCGATCGAAGTTTCCGATCTCTGATGTCTCCGACTGCGGGCGGGGGATAATATTCATTCATTAGGGGTGATAGATTATAGTTTTTGTGCGCTCTGCTCGATACGGTGCAGGAAGTCCATCAATGATCTGCGGACACAATATTATTCTGATTGGGCGCTACACATCGAATAAATACAGTACCTATACATCATTTAATCTACATCCGTGGACGTCGTCGTGATGGTTTTGCGACCACGGGTCCGTTGGAGAAGGTCTTGAGACGATATCGAATCCATCCTTCGTAAACTTTGGGTGGTTCGAGGCCGATATTGCTTGCTTGGTTTTTTTTTGTCACGTTGAGCTTCCTGTCTGCTCTCAATTTCTTATCATCGCGATGCTGCTCCCAGTCCCGGGAACAGTCAAATCAGAAAACGAAATTAAGGGAATTTTGGTCAGAATAAGGATCCCTTGCGATGTATCGAATACTACTTGAAGCGAAACTAGGGCTGAGACGGATCTTTCAGCGAAGCTTCAGATTCTGTTCTCAGAAGTTCTTCCTTGACCAATTTCTCGATCCGGGTCCTCTTCTCCTTGTCGTCGATCTCTCCCGAATCGGAAATGCTATCAAGTATTTTAGACATGCCGTCCCTTCGACGTTTCTTCTTGTTCTCCATCTCTTCCATGCCGCGGAGAACAGCATCGATTTTGCTGACGATGGCTCCGATCGAATGCTCCATACGATCGACTCGTTTCTGGAGAACGTTAATCTCTTCGGCGCTCGCCGCATCGAGACCCCCACTTCCGCTGATGGGAGACTCGGTCGAGATGCCGTTTTGTTCGTTGGCGATTTCCTGATCCAGAAGGTTCTTCTGTCCCTCGAGGTGCGCCATCATGGCCTTGACCTCCTGTTCGTTGAGTTCGCGATTCCCGTCGATGTCGTATTTCGCGAAAAGCATCTCGATCTCGGTATCGCTGTAATTCTGACCGCGGAGGCTTTTACGGACCTCTTCGAATGTGAGTTTGTTGTCGTTGTCGGTATCGGCCATGCGCATCGCGTTCTGGATGTCGACGATCTGATCTCTCCGTCCGATCTTGGTGAGGAAGTTGTTGTAGCCCTTCTTGAAGTAGTCGACGATCTCGAACTCGTTCTTCTGCTGCGCGATTTCCACTTTGACTTCGGCGTACGTGTCGTTGATGATCGCCAGGAACATGTTCAGCAAAACGAAGAAGACGAAGAACACATACGAGAGGAAGTAAATCGGACCAAGGACTCGGTTCGCCTGTTCGAGTTCCTCGAAGTTGAAGTCTCCGAGGATTAAACGGAGGAGCGTGAACACTGCGTTGGAGAAGTTGCTGAATCCTTTGATTTGGGTCCCGAAGAGAAGGTAGCCCAGTTGGGCGAAGGCGAAGAAAACGATGAAGAACATCACCGAAAATCCAGCGACGTCCTTGGAGCATCGAGACAGGGTTGACGACAATTGAGTCATGGTCTTATTGAAGGAAATGTACTTGAAGATCTTGATCCACGCGAAGAACACAGCCAGAGCGACTGCATTATTGAATTGGAATTGATAGAAGCCGAGTTTACCGAAATCGGCGTATTCGTCCGGTTTGTTCAGGAGCTCGACCAGTAATTGGTTGACCATGACTGTTCGGTATATGGAGAAACCGATGCAGACACCGGATATAATAATCACCAGGATGTCCAAGATGTTCCAGATGGATTTGAAGTAGGTAGCTCGGTTGGCCTTGATCTCCAGGAATTCCTCGATGACGTAGTAGAATATGTAGAGAAGGAAGATGAACTCGCATCCGAGAATCATGTAGTCCCCGGTTGTAACGTATCGGAGGAGCTTCACCGTACGGAAACTCCACGACGGGATCATGCCGCCGGTCGCCGGAAATTCGAACACTAGCTTGACGACGCAGAAGAGGTTGACGTTGGCGTTGTAGACGGTGAAGTCGATGAACACGGCGCGAGTTCCTCGGTTTATCCAGAGGTTGTCCTTGAGCTCCTGAACGGAGTTAAGAGCCTCTTCCTTCGTGGTACCGATATCGGAATAATATCCGGCTCCGCTGTAGCGGTACAGCAAGCCCCAATGATCATAACCGTCGAGCTCCTTCTCCTTGTGGTAGGTCCACGCCGTACCGTTCATTAGCCCGAATGGTTCGGTGTCTTCGAAGAAGGGCGAATAGTTGTCGTAGCACTGGGAGATGACCTTCTTGAAATTGGTGTGAACGTTGCACGAGTTATTCCGGACGCGCAACTGCCGGAATCGAGGCGAGCCGAGGAGCCGATTCTCGTAAAGGATGTTACGGTCGTCTCTGACCAGCGTCTGGTTGTTGTACCACGTGTCCCAATACAGGGAACCGATGAGGACGTCATCGACGAACTGCCAGAAATTGTCGAGGCTGGTCGCTCCTCTCATGTTGCCCGAATTGTCCTTGAAGTTCGAGTCGAGGAAGAGGTCGTTCAGGACCTTGGTTTGATAGAACATGGTGGGACTCATCATACCGAACGTGAGGATGCACAGGATGCACAGGAAACAGATGTAGATGAACAGCTCACGAAGGGTCGTTTTCACCAACCAGTCCTTGTCCGACTTGTCGGCCGCCATCTGACGGGTGGCCCAGAGGGCCCGGATTCCCCGGAAGCACCCTCTCGGAGGCTCAGCGAAAACTTCGCTGCGATCGTCAACGATTTCATCGTATCCTGCTCCAAGGGTGCCCTCGAGATCCTTCGACCGGGATTTTGATGACTTCCAGGCCGAGCGAGCCTGCTGCCCGCTTATGGGTCGGATGGCACCTCCATAGCTGAGATGATCCCCTTCGGGCCCGCCGTACATCTCGGTACGAGTTTCGAAGGAGTTTGTCGTCGCTGAAATTCCCCGCACTCTGACCGATGAGAGTGGGATCCGGGCTGTGGTCGGGGTCGCGGTCGGAACTCGTGTGCCCGGATAAGCGACGCAGCTCCGAGATAGTCAGAGTCGTCACGGAGTCTGCGTCCGGACGCGATTGGTTGGAGCAGAATGACGTCAACCCAGCCCGCTGTTGCACGGAGCGTTCCGTAGAGGTCGACGTCGTTGTTGCCGCCGGTGTTGGGGACGCAGTGAAGCGCGTTGACCGGGGGCAAAAAACCGTATGAGAGCTTATGAACGAGCCGTCGCACCCATGGATACATCGGCAGCACAACAACAGGCAGAGGTTTCGTTTCAGCAAGAATACCTCCGCTTACCGTGCTGCGCACTGACCTGCGACCTTCACGCCGAAGGGATCTCCCGGGGATAGGGTGCACCACTTCGATGCGAGGGAATTCGATTAACAGCATAATTGATGTGCGGAGGGGGAAGGGGTGGCTCCGTTAGGCTCCGTGCTCCTCAAACGGAGAAGTCGATCTGTTTGTCGGAACGGCCGCGCCGCATGGGTCGACCAAGCGGAGAAAAGGAAATATTCCTACGGTTCCTTTCCGTACGGAAAATTGGTGAACTCCGAATGCGCGTCTCTCAAGCTGCGGGACACCGGTCGCTCTCAGCTGTCCAATAACTAATAAGCAGCGAGGCTCTGACTTTCTCCTGGTGATTCGTAGCTCGTGTTTACGACATGATTGCGGCAAGAAGGCTGCAGAAATGCATACGGCGAAGCCGACCATAGTCGTCGTCGGCAACTGCGACCGAATACGAGTGGGTACGCAAGAACAGACGCTTACGCTACTGTATGCTTGTCGGTTAGCCCGGCTCTCTAATGGCTTAGTGTGCTCTCATTGCTAGGGCATGCATCGTTGGCCAACTGTAGCGCCGTGCACGAGTCCCGGCTTCATCAGAATACGAGTGCCTAGCCGTTTCTAGTCGGACCAGCGCCAAGCAGCCAGCCGGTCACACCGACCCTACCCGATCCGTGCCGCGCGACCAGGGACAAAATGTATGTAAGTACGTCCCGCAACCACCAGCGACACAATGCTATCAGCAGGCCGTGAAGGACACGTACGAACATTGGGCTAGCCTTCTGAGGAGGTGTTTAGCTGTGCTCCGGCTGACGTCAAAGCCCCGACTGCGGACGTGGCTGACATCGTTCGGAGCAACATCCAAGAGCGAGTTGGGCGCAGGCAACACCTACGTACATATGTCCCGACTGCTCAATCTTACGATAATTTTTCTGGCAGAATTTAAAGGCAGAAACCGTGACGAATGCACAGCCGCTGAGGGATGGTGAAGGTCCGTCTCTCGCTTTTCAGCGATCGCCCTGCCCGTGTTGCGCCCGCTGCCTGACCGTCTGACGTGTTCCCGAAAAACGGATGTCGGTGGGAATTGATCTTGTTATCACGAGTGTCCAAGCAGGGAAATGACACCGATAAGGGAGCGAACCCTTCCCCAAACTCTCGTCCGCTTTCTGAGGACTCTCCATTCGAGTAGAATCGATGCATCTCATCAAGATTCCATCTATCCGGGGATGGAAGTTTCTTCCGCTCGGGGCAAATTTCCCCGAGCTAAGTTTGGAAACGATTCGAAACCGGTTCTCCTCTCGTTTGAGGGGGTCAAGCAGCTTGCCTCTGATGCTCAAAGGAATAAGCTGCTGAACTCGGGTCGAGTCAGAGCTGTTTGAGGAGAAACACTTCCGTGGGAGCGCTCTAAAGAGTAGTTTCTTTCTTCTACATTGCCCGCTTGTCGGACGGGTAAAAAACAGCGGCAGCTGGAGAGAAAAATGAGAGCACGCTAAAAGTTTAACCTCGTCGCAGCATCTCGGGGCATGTGGTCATAATCCTCGTAATTTTATTCAGCGTTGTTTTTCCCATCACGTTTCTCACTCGGCAGTTGCGCGCGTCGAGCGAGGGAGCGCTTTTTGAGTCCCGGGTCCTCAATGAGCCCTCCCGATGTTTCGCAGTCAATTCTGCGGAGCAATGCATTGTCCGCTCCGCGCACCAGATCTCTTTCCCGGGGTTCCCCCGATCGTTCAACACGCAGGATAGGAACCGATACCACCGAGACAAATCCCTCCATCCGCGGACTTGAATCCGCCAACACCTCCCAAAGCATCTCATGGCTCTCTTGTACCTACTGGGGAATCAAGACCTGAGACGCGAATGGCCCGGCCAGAGCAGCAAGAGAGCGCTCGGGTCAGTCGAAGGGCTCCGGCAGCTGCTCAATGCGATGCAATGGAGAGGTATACGTCGGCGGCGAAGGTATATAAACAGCGTGTGAGTATATAATATGACGGTTCACTGCTTCCTTTCGCTATAAGGGGAGCAATCGTTTAAGCGTCGCTCAATATCGGGGAACCACTTCCAGAGCCGCCATACGCTGTTTCAAGTAGCGCTTCTCAGCTCTTTCAATCCGCTCAGATTTATGAACTCGTCCTTCAGTTCACCTATCCCGACAGCGGTCCTAATTCCACCTAGACCAAACTCCAAGATCGAGGGTTGAAGCAGGAGTTCTACTTTTTCAAGCAGCGCCTGTCTTTTCGTCGCTTTTCCGCGCCTCTTTCCCCGATACGCTCTGCTGCGGATCGGCATATTGACCATGGGGAAGTCTGGAGCGTCTATCGCTGTCCGACGAATCATGTATTTCAGGTACGTACATATAAATCGCCTACAAATCTCGACATCAGTGATTCTCTCTGCGGAGAACTCGAAGCTCGAGATGTTGAATGCCTGAAATCAATTCAAGGATGCTCGCGACGGCTGCTACGCGCCTCGAGTCGACCCAGAGAAATTCGCAATATCGGGTTCTGGATAGAATGCATGGAATCGCTATCAATCTAAAAGAAGCAGGTGGCTCGCATGAGTGCTACGGATGTCAATTCATGACCAGCAATCTGCCAGATATGTAGGACGGAGCTCAAACAACCGGATCCGGTTATATACAAAATCTTTGATGAGACAAAGGAAGTTCATTAATCTTGGGAGGTCTGATCCATAGTGTCGAAGATCCATCATAAGCAATCTCTGATACTGGATTGCGAATTATGCCTAAAAATATCCTCCGCCACGCTCATCGCCTACGGTAATGAGGGGAATTCTATCGTGATTCGGGCTCAGAGCCCTCGTTGGACACCACTCACCACGTCGATGATTTGCTGAAGAGTGAGCCCGAAACTCAGGAGGAGCGGCTCAGATTCGTTGGCGACGGGCCTTTCGAGGACGTTGTAATTCCCCAACAGATCGTTTAGAAGTCTCTTTTCGTGCGGACCAGATAAAGACTCTGAAATTGTTAGGATAGACCACGTTAGGGGAGGGTGCTCATGACGAGCTCTGATTAAGCTCACACATCTTTTTCAATGTAACCGGCTCAATTATAGATCGCCTTAGGGGGAGGGGGGACGACGAAGAGGAGCAGAGCGGTTGGGTCTCTTCCCTCGAGCTCCGTCGACGACGACCGCAACCTCGGGTTCCCCTAGTTGTCTCTGCAGCTATATGCATAGTCGTGACTCCTTTCCAGGTTCCGCCCAACACATAGAACTTCGTGGAGTCTTGATGCAATACGCCGGTGCCCCTCTCCCCCCCCCTCCAACCCCCAAGTCGATAGGCGGATAATCCTCCTGATTTTTGCCGAAGTTTTGTCCTTGCTGCACCAAAGGCTAGGGGGATCCATGATAAGGTATTCTGACTCAGTCCTCACTGGATTTCCCCTGAGAAACTTTCTCGTCGCTGCCCGTTTTAGCGGAGGACCTCCTCGGCAAAGGGTCGGGAGCTCGCTTCCGCGGGCTATCGATACCCCGTGACTCTGCGGAGCACCGATGGCTGCCCGGCTCCATCTCCCTCGCGCGTGAGGCATTGCCGACAGCGTTCCCGGCGAAGTCTGCCTGAGGTTCCTCCTAAGGGACCTGTTTAAGGGTTCCCGCGAGAATTTCCGCATGAATTATTATTGAAAGGTGTTTCATTTCAATTTTCCAAGCCCACGATTGCATTGTATATCCAGAGGCAACCCGGGCTCCCTGGGTTAGAATCGCGAGGAATTAGGGCGTTCCGCGACTCGTCCGAAGACGGTCACGGAGACTGACGTTACACGCAACAGTTGATTACGAGCGCGTTCCCCATAAGCCCGTTTCCGAGGTGATTATTTATTATGGGCGTTCTCCTCGACAGCGACGCGCTGGCGTAACCGGGAGATGTGAGTCCCCTCGTCGCGGGATGGATCTGACGACAAAATCCTTGTGCTGATTAGTCCCGGTTAAGGCTAGCTCGGCGGCGGCGGCGACGCTGCAGCGGCGACGTGCGGCTTGTGTGGGTACCTCCGCCGTGGAGCGACAATGTCTCCGGCAAGCATCTTCTTCGCTCAGGTCCCATTCGGGCTTCGACTATAGGTACAGGTAGGCGCTGCGCCGCATCGAGCCGCAGACGCGTAGCAAATTAATCAGCTTAGGAAATGAGAAAACGCAGGAAAATTTCGTTGCATGACATAAGGCGACGGTGCGGGAATCTCGACAGCTCTGAGAAAACAGACCGTGAGCGATAACGTGGCAACGGCTCCAAAATCACCCAAACGAGCTCACAGTCTCGCACGCGTCCCTTCCGAGCTGACCGGCGTTCCGCCACCGAGCCAGAGGAGCGCCCAGATCCGATTCTCGATCCGATCGCTTTTCACGCGTTACAGTCTAGCCAGACGGAGAGCCGGAATCCTCGATAAATACTGCAGCAAGCAGATACATGACACCACGTGTCAAGGTGGCGCTCGAATCCCGAGCTGCTCCCTGTCAGTGGTAATCTGTCACAGCGGTGCTCACTAACAGTGAGATCTACCGCCGAGCTGATATGGTGAGAGAACGTAGCGCGAGAAGTTCGGCCCCGCAGCCACAGAATCCGCGGAGCGTCATGTCCCTATATTGCGTCTTGCCTCAACAATCATTGCCGAAATCGATTATTGACTCCATCGGAAGATTTCCGACTTCGGACTCCAGACGCGGTTATTTGTCCTCAGAAGAGTCCTGAGTGGTTTTAGTCGTACATACGCTGCAAATGTTGAAATATGAACCCCGGTCCACAGCTCCATTCCAAAGGGAGAGGGGATCACGGTTTCCGATCGGAACTACCTCTCCCGGATTTAGAGCGGGGCCGCGATTCAGACACGGTTAACTTCTCAAACAGGTGGTTGATGGGAGAAGGCACAGACAAATAAGTCATGCGGAACAAGTATGCTGATTCGGTTGACCGTTAGACCCAGCTCAATTAGCTTTGCGGCCGAAGGCCAATTCCTTTTAATTCGCTCGCGCACTCGGCCGCGACCGTCCAGAAAGGATTATTCGCGGACGTTCGGAATGAGACGAGCCAGGGAGAGGGCGCCAGCTAGTAAGCCAGGGAACAAAAGAAAGACAATCGCCGAGTTCCGCCCAGTTTCCGCAAACTTTGCTCGGGTCGCGGAGAATATTCATCAGTCAGACGGCTCCCAAGCCAAAGAGCGACCCGGTCGAGAATCGAAGAGAATCTTCTTTCCCTCTCTGGCATCCAGGAGCCGCTGCAACACTCATGATTCATGGCTGGACACAACCGAGCCATAACCCCGCGTCCCTCTCGCAAGAACTAGGACAATGGATTTGGAAAACCTAGTCTCCTTTGCGGACGAAAGAGCAGCCTGGACTCGATGTTCTATGTCACTTTTCATGGAGTTCTGATGTTCCCGATAATCTCCTGACTCTTGTGAGTCCACAATCTCCTTTGCCGCGGCGTGCGCGATATAGGACGCCTCAGGCAGAAACTCATTACGGAAAGGCGCCCTTCGAGAACAAGGACCCGAGTCGAAAAACTTCGATTGTGCCAGCCGCGTAAACCACCCGATGCAAGTGGGAACACTGAAATTGAAACTTCTGGAGCAGGAAGCAAATGCAAACCCTGAGGCTCATCGATGACTTCCGACGAGGAGAAACCCTGGAAATCTCCAGATCTGGCCCGCAGACCAATATCTGCGGACGACTCCGCAACTCGGGGTTGTCAGACCGATGCTTCGAGGAGTACTCCGTCCCAGATCAGAGGGATCCGCTGGCTCGCCGAGTTTGACATCTTCAGGGAGCCTTCCGTGCAGATCAGGGGGTTTCGAGAGACGAGTGAAACTTCTGCTCGGTTGACTTCACTCCGTTCGTTGACAAATAGAGAGATAAACTCACTTGGAAATGTGCTCTCGGTTTGTTCCCCAAAAGTTGCTGAGGTTAAGTTGCGGAGAGTTTTTAGACTCTGAAATCTTGGACCCCCGTCATCGCAGACTCGAGGAAGAAACTTTTTCGCTCTTCGTTACGATCGTGAGTATTTTGTCTCGAGACCGTCGGGTTCGCGGCGAGCAGTGCGAGCCCATCAATGAGAGGGCTCGAGACGCAGCGGACGAACAAATGTGTATGCGTTCGACAGTGGAAGTTTTCCTTTGCCGTGACGACGGGACGGCGAGCTTCGCCGAAGCTACTAAGCCCCGGAATAAGGAAAAAAGCCCTTACTCCGGACTGACAGAGAACGCTGTCGCTGGCAGATGTTCTGCACGGCGCTTGCGTGCAGCCTGCCCCACTGTGGCAGAGCTGAGTGAGTGAGCGAGTTTGTGTACTAACAAGGACGTTCCGTAGGGTCGAACTTTGCTCCTTTCCACGAGCTCACGGTATGGAGCCCGGATATCTTCCGACGTATGCCTGACCTAGGTCGGGGAAGTTCCGCTTTTCCGTCCTTGAATCTGAGGCCTTCCCTGCTGCCGTGTCTGCGCCGAAAAAAATAATAATAATTATTAAACGAGGCCGGGAATACGACAATAATAATCAGCGCCAATCATTAAATGGTCTTCCCGTCTTGGAAAATGTGAATTCGAGCCCTCTCGGACGGCTGCAATGTATGGCATCCGATGGGCGTATACCCTTTGAGTCTAGCGATTTTCCTTTGGGAACGAACCGGATGCGGGACTCGATAAGGGTTCGGCTTAGCATACGCTTCGAGGTCCTCTGATCCAGTATAATCACATGCCACAAGGAGACGGACATTCTCTTCTACGTCGTATAGGACTTGCGACCGCATATCGTTAATTGAATTGCCCTATTATCGTGTTCTCACAACGCTGCTCATCGAATTCGGTAGATGCGCCGGTACTCTCCCGATTACTCTCCATATTGCGATTTCTCCGCCGATTGGGCCAACCGCTTAGTCGGATCGAGCCGTGGGACGCGATTCCTCTCTCGTACGAGTCTCCTTCAACTGTGGAGATTCGCTCGACGGACCTCATTGTCCGCTCAAAACCGTCAAAAAATGTTCGTTGCAGAGCCTGAGATTTCCAGAGATGCAATGCTAGACAACAAAGTCCCCCATGTGGCGTAAGAGGATCAGCCGTGTAGAGCGGGATTCATGCTGCGATAATGCTTACGGTACGTACAACGTACCTGGCCTATCGAGCGGGAGTTATGCGGTTGCATCGTCCATCAGCGCCACAACGGGCCCGTCTCGGACGACGTTCTGCATACCGGATCGACCGCCTTTGACGGGAGAAGTCGGCCGCACAGCTGCCGCTCCGCCAACCAGCACCGATTTGCGCACCTATTGATAGCGTCGCCAATCTTCCCCTCGGCAACAGGCATCTGTCGCATCGATGCCGGGGCCTGTCGCGAAATCCTTCAATGCCATACACGAGATGAGCTCGACGTACCGGAGACGGATATTCCACCTTCGATACGATCCTTATCCCAGATTCGGACGCTTCGCAAGATCGGCAGTTCCGTATGAAATCGTGACGGCATTCGTGGAGGTCCTGTGAGAGCGAGTCCATATCGCGTCACTCTCACGAATGAACCAAGCATGGACAATAGCTAGCGCGAAATCTCATGCTCCATTCGCATTGTCGACCGGCCGCCAGGCGCCATCGGAGGGCAGACCCGCCCGAACCCATTAGGAGCTCTTCAAAAACGCATATCTCATTGTCAGGTTGATTGGACTCGCAAAGTGATTCTGCACAGATGTATTCTGGAATCGATTCGTTTTTTTGCGCTTCGCAATTCTTTTCAAATCTGTCGATCATGTTGCAAGAGCAGTCTTTTTGTGCTCGTCGCGTTGTGGCCCGTTGCAATACCAGGGACTGGGTATTCAAGGGACAATGACGTGATGCGGGCTCGTAAGCGTGGGGTCTCAGGAAAAAAACCGATGCCAGTACACGCTGCTGCTCTCCGACTGACTGCAAGAGCTCGAGCATCCGGTATGTCTCACGTATCTGGAATTGAAGCAAGGACAATAATTCCGATCGGCGGGAACATACCGAACCTCAGGAGCCACCGGATTGGCTTCGCCAGCCATCGATAATCCTCTAGAGGAAAGGACTACGTCGGATTCAAGTACCTGGATAATCTCCCTAGCAGAAGATTTCCGGGCCAACTGCCGGGTCAGGAGAGGGCATACACCCCATGAACGGGCGCTCGACGAGTCGTCTCATTCCGATCCACCGAGGGAACCGGCTGATGAGATGCGGTTTCACCACCGAAGACGAAGGGGGGCAATTCCATGCACACCTGTTAAGCAAGATCATATCATATGCTCTACCGAGACAAGAATTTTGAAACGCCTCGTGTACCGTGGAGCGTCGCAGGGGCTCGCGTCCACGTTGATCCAGCTCGCTAGATTATCAGGTTCGAGCGGAGAGCGATTCGATTTTTGTGCGTTCGAGCCTCGCTAAACGAAGCTGAATGGATAGGCGAGAGTTCGGGAATTCACCGATGGAAAATGAAAAGGAGCCGCATCAAGCTCCCGCAAGATACTCCGTTGCGCCTCGGATAATTGGAAAAATCAGGAGCTGGGAAGGATAAGAGACAGTGAATGATGCGCTTCCCAATATATCGCTCGGGCTACTGGCGGAACTCAATCAGCGATAAAACAAGCGCTTGTAGGCCAACTTTTCATCAGATTCTGGAGCAGCTCGTCAGCCTCAGTGGATAAGGATACTTTTTGATGCCTTCTCAGAGACTCGCGAACAGTAGGTAGCCGTCGTCGTTAGAGAGTTGAGCCTTTCGCTGCATCCGAGGCGGTAATTCGCTCATCCTGACCTGGGACGCTCCCCGCCCATGAGTACATCCACCGGATCGATCTTCTCTTCCGCCGCAATCCGCTGATCGAATCCGGTCCGATACAGGGATATATTCCACATCCCACATTGAAGACCGACTGAACTCCCCGTCCGAGACGCTCGATCGTGAATGAGTTCATTCAAGGGGAGCTCAATGACGTCGATGGGACCGTCTAGCTCGATGGAAGATGGGAGAGTGGAACTAGAAAAGAGGAGAATTTCACAGTGACTGAACCGCGGATCGGCAGGATCATCTCATCATCGTTTTCTCCTGTTTGCGTCTTTCTCCGAGCAGGAGCACTTTTTCCAATTCCTCTTTCAGTCCTTACAAGAACTCTTTATTCAGAAGCACTGAGAGAAGTAAATCTTTTCAATGTCGATCGGGCCGAAACCAATCCTGAGATTCTTCTTCTCCCACATATTGTATGACCGAGCGTCTCGGAGAGACTGCGGGAACAGACTCGCGCTCAACCAATGGAAGGACTACGCCGAAGCCATAATGGAACTCCCGCGGAGCGATGTGAGAAGCATTCCAGACGGGTCTAATCAAATATCGGGCACCGATGCTAATACATATTCATTCGCAGGAATTTCATTCTGCATTCTGAGAAGTCTTTGCCTTCTTCTGGAAAACTGAATCCTTCTTCTTCTTTTCCAACTCTCGACAGAGGTGAATTTCAATATTTGACACCTGGCACTTCTTGAAGGTCGACGACCGCCTCAAAGTTTTCCTCCAACTTTCCCATTCTTTGCTCGTGACCTCATCCGAGAAGCTTTCATCCTGCCTTTCTCATCCTTTCGATTTCAATCAGCTCTTTTTTCCTATTCCCACAATTCAGCGTCTTCGAGCACAGGCTTGTGTACTGTCGAATTGAGAAGGAACGCGGGATGAAAGGTTCGTGGCAGCGGCTTTACGAGGTGATTTCCGGACAGGAACCACGGGAGCGCAGTCTCCTCCGACCGAAGATCGGAACATGTAGTTGTTGGAAAGCGATCGCAGAGGTACCACAGAGTTCAAAGTTACACCGATGCAGCTTTTCTCACTCATTCGAAGAGCGGCTTCGGAGTTCAGCTACAATTCGAACAAACGCAGGAGCAGCAGCAGAACCACAAGGAGCTCGATCGGGTGCCGCCTCAGAGAAACGAAAGCAGGTCGAGGGAGATAGATACGCATTCGCGTAAAGTTTTCCGAATGCGAAAAGAACAAATGCCCACCTGTCTGCCTGCCTGTCAGCCTAAAACAGTCAGGCGTGAGAGGCGCTGAAGAAATAACGCGCCCAACGCCGACGCAAGAGCTTCGGGGGAAGACTCTTCGAATGCCTCCCGTGTCCGTGTCCTTGCTCGCATTCAATATGAACATATTGGATAAGTTTTTGTGGCGAAAATCGCTCGTCACCCGAACGCTCGCCCGACGTCGAAGGTTGTGGAACCTTTGCCTTCAGAGCTCACCTGCGATGGATCCTGCGAAGCCGCTATCTGCCACCCGACTCCTCGTTCAGGTATGCTTCTCTAAGAAGATGCCACGTCTCCTGCATCAGGCTTGCAAACGTGTAAACTCCAAGATTTTCGATCCCGTGGGACCGTTCGGCAGAGCGCGCCCGGGGTCCTTGCTGGATCGAAGCCAGTCCTACCTCGAGTCCACGCCGAGGCGAGGCGAGAAAACGGCTCGCAGTGAGGCATGACCGAGAAGCCGGGCACGTATCGAAAAAGTGAATCTGCAAGAAAGTCGCAGATCCCCGGAACAGGATTGCTTGTCGCGCGGGCGGTCGGTCGGTTTCGAGCTCGCGAATTGCGGAGCGGCCGCACCTCAGATCGATATCGGTATGCAGAATACGAGAGCCGTAGGAGATTTCCCCCTGAACGACATCGAAGTCGTTCACTGACTAGCTGACATAAGCGCCGATTCCCCGCGCATTCCGCGGGTCTCGTCTCCACCTTTCATGACGAAGCAGAACTACGGTACGATTCCATCCTTCGGAGCATTCTCAAGATCCGTCATTTTAAAAGCGGACATGTCAAAGAGGCTCTTAGTGAATTTGTTGGAGGCCCCTTCTGCCATTCAATATTCATGTAGAGAAAATCTTCTTATCAAATTCGGGACGTTCCCGCTCCTCGCTGATCGCTTTCACTCATTGTCGACATTTTCGCGACGAGCTCTGCCTCGAAAATCCCGGATAATTTCGGCGTGAGAAAACAAATGAAGCTCCGGATTACACTTCAAATCTTGGGCCGAGCGGAGGCTCGTGAAAGAGCCCCGTCAAAGCTCGGAAGATCTCACTAAGGAACCCAGCGATTCTCAAACACGACCGATGAAAATCCCGACCACGGGAGCTCCGTCGCACAGCTGTTACTCCTCCAGAAAGTACGAATGTAGGGTGGCATTCCGCTAACATCTCATGTAACATCCCCGATGGGGAGCGTCGGACGGAATAGATCCGATTGACAAATTACTTCACCCCTACGAAAACCGCGGAAGTACCTGCGATTTGTCTGATGCGTTTCCCCTTCGCGAAGATATTAATGGACCTCGCGCTGAGTGAATCGGATTTCCCGTTCAAAGCACAAGAAGCACGACCATCAGTCACCACGAGGTCCAGCTCCACACGATGGGAGCAACCGTAGCAACAACATCAGAAAGAAGCGTAGTGTCAGCTGCGTAGCGTACCGGCCACAACAGTCCCACCAACA